TAAGCGGCAAAGCTAGGGCCCAGACCTTTGTCTAGGCCTCTTTCCCTTTCACGACAGTCCTTCCGCGCTCCACCTTTGTCTCCCCCACGGGAAATTCATTCATTCATTCATTCATTCATTCGTTAAGTGCCAAGTTCTACCTAGATATTTCCTGAAAGCCTATGTGGATTTCAGAAACTAGATTAGTACAGAATTGTACCGAATACTTGAGCAAGAGGGGTCCACAGGTCTGTCTGTTGGATGTTCTCTTTCCTAGAGGGGCAGTGAGAACTGAGAGGGTAGGTGACATAGTGAAGTGCGCACGTGGTGAAAGACGCGTGGTCAAGTGTGGACGGGCCCAGAACCCAAGCTCTGTCACTGCAGGCTGCCTTCTTCCCCCTCCTGCTTCCTTCTGCTCAGTAACTCTGACAGTGTGCTCTAGGCCAGGGCCTAAGCTTGACGATTCGCTGATTGTAGTCAGGGAAGTGGAGCCACCAATTTTTCCTGAAGATGCATTCTTTCTTAAGCAGGGAATCGATTTCCAACAAGATACACAGGCTTCCAATGAAGCCACTTAGGTGAATCTGTACAAAACACCATTAATCCACTGCTAGGGCCGTTTATCTCCCTGGCTGGGGCAGCCACGGCCTTTTCAGACCCAGGATGTGATGCTGCTGGAGGAATGGGTACAGAAGGTTCCCCAACCAGAGGGGCATCCCATGGCAGGGGTGTAAGCGGACCAATGGTGGGGACCCGAGGGAGCCATCTGCAGGAGGCCAGTGCACAGCGCAGTGTGTGTGTGTGGCCCCAGGCCTGTCCCTGCGTAGCCATGAACTTGCCGTGTGACTTGGATCTTTCTCAGCCCTTGTCCGGAAGCCCCCACCTTCCTTCCCATCGGTAAATGGGAATAAATGGTCCTGAATGTTCCTTTCCACTTTCAGAAGCAGATGCCAGGTGATGACACACACTTTGCAGGGAGCAAAGAGACTTGGCTTTGGATCTCAGCTTCACCATTCTGGAACTCTGGGGGCTGTGGGTTGAGTTGTGTCTTCCAAGAGAAGATACGTTTGAGCCCTAACCCCCAGCACCTAGGAATGTGACCTGATTTGGAGATAGGGTCTTTACAGAGGTCATTAAGTTAACATGAGGTCATTAGCATGGGCCCTAATCCAGTATGGCTGGTCTCCTTATCAAAAGGGGAAGTGTGGACACAGAGACAGGCACCCACAGAAGCAAGACGATGGGAAGACATACAGGGAGAAGGCCATCCACAAGCCAGCAAGAGTGGCCTCAGAAGGAGCCACCCCTGCCAACACCTGGTGCTCAGCCTTTTAGCCTCCAGACCTGCAAGATCAAACATTCCTGTCTTGAGGCCCCCAGCCTGTGGTGCTTTGTTACAGCAGCCCTGGCAGACTGCTACAGGGGACTAGATCTCTGAGTTCCCTGAGGAGTGATTTGGGCACGGGGACACCTGCGCTGCAAGGGTTGCTTTAGGAGTCCCTTAGTGCGGCCCTTGAAATTTGGTAAGCGCTCAGTGGCTGTCAGTCCCGCTGTGCCCCCCAGCGCCGCTAGGGGGCCTGCAGAGGAGGGACAAGACAGAACGAGGCCTCAAGTCAGACCTTTCACAGAGAACTGGGTCACGCAAGGCACCCCTTCAAAAAGCCTCTCTAAATATGGAGAAGGCCAGAGAAATCACTATTAATGCAGTGCTTAATGGTTTTCAGCCAGAGAGTGGCCTCAGCCCTAATCGACAAGGCCTCGAAGCTGAGGTTTCTTTATTTTTATGTCCTGGGTACACTTTGAGTATGTTGAGCTGCTATGAATAATCAATAAGTGCAGTAGTCACGGCCATTTTATGGGTGTTCTGTAAAGGAGGCGGCATGGTTCTGATGGGAAGGACACTCCCTGGATGACCCTGAGAAAATCCATTATCCTCCTTGGGCCTCAGTTTCCCTATCTGCAAAGCGAAGGGGGTAGACCAACCAGGCCAGGGATTCTTACGCTGCATTTGTGAAGGCCGGGGGGTTAAGTATAAATTTCTTGCATACACATGCATTGCTCAAACGTATTTTATGGGCAGCAAAAAAGCTATCCATAGCTCTTGCCTGGTTCTTGAAGGGGCCTCTGACTCCCAGATTGTCTGCAATGACTTTCCTGGACAACCTCTCAGGGCTGCTAGTTCCTGGCCGGTCTGCGGTTCTGGGACTCTGATTTTATAATGGTTTCTAAGCCTCAAGAAGCAAGTCCTACAGATGTGGCTTCTCTGAGTTACTGGGATGAGGGGGATCAGGGACATAGAACTCCCCAGAGAGCTCATCGCTGGGGGCTTTGCTGACCAGGGAGACCCCAGCTGCCCAGCACTCAGGTGTCTCTGCTTTGGCCCTCCCTCCTGCCCCACAGCCCTTGCGGTGGCTGAGTGGTGCCTCCCAGCCCCTCTACTCGCCCCTCTCCTGGATGCTACACCTGCCTAACCCATCTGCCTGCTTCAATGCTGGCCCCACCCCCATCACATTTGGAGTAAAACCCAAATCCCTTACAATCCCTCCCTGATCCATCCTCCACCGGTCTCTCTGAAGGCATCTTCCCCCATCCCCCCACGTTCCCTGAGCTGCAGCCTCACCGACCATTGGTCAGGGCTTCATGCCCTAGCCTCCGCCCACGCTTGGGTCTTTGCCTTGCTGGGCCTTCGGCCTAGAACGTTCCTCCCCACATCTTCCACTGAAGATGAAGACTCCTCCAAGTCTCAACTCAGACACCAGCTCTTCAGGAAGCCTTTCCTGCCCCCCACTAACACAGACTTCCTTCCCTCTGTTCTCCTCCCTCAGTGCACCTGGCCCGTTTCCTTCAGAGCACTAACACGACCTATAAGGAAATATTTATGTGTTTTCTTCCCTACCAAAATGTCAACTCGTGAGGGAATAAACTAAGTCTTACATGTGCAGTGCCTGGCTCATAGTAGCATTTAATAAATGCTGGAACACACTCACTCACTTGGTTAAAATTAAGATGACTGACAACACCAGGTGCTGGGGAGGGTGTGGGACAGTGGGCCCTCTGAGTACAGGCGGAGAGCGTGGACTATGGTACAACAATTCTGTCATTTTTACAAAATCACATAACACTTACTTACTCCATGAACCAGCCATTCCACTCCCAGGTATCTGCCCAAGGGAACTGAAGACGTATGTCCACACACAGACTTGTACACACATATTGCAGATCTGTTCACCATAGCCGAAGACTGGAAACAGACCATCTAGAACAGGCAAGACCTCTGCATCCCCACGGTCTGACGGGACCGAGAGGAGAAGGAAGCTGAGAATCCACCGAGCGTGCCCTGTGGCCCGGGCAGCTGAGTGGTGGTGACCCGTAGTGGTAGGGTGTGTTGGGCGGGGCCTGGGGCGATCCCAGGGATGTCCCCAGAGACAGAGATTCGCCCAGCACCCTGGTCCCAAGTCTGAGAGCAGGGGACCAGCCACTTGAGAGAACCTGGTCCTGGTGCTGCCCGTGGGTACAGGATTCTTGCAAAATGCCAATTAAGACATTTGACCCAAATTCAGATAAAAGCCTTTTTCCTGTGTCGAGTGGAGCTAATAATATACATTTGTTCATAATTTATGAGGCTTAGTAAGTGGGAACAATTAAGGAAGAGGCCTGCGCAAAACCTATTTCTTTTAAGTGTCACATAGGCCTTTTCTTGTTCTCTAAGGCCATCCCACGCTCTCTGCGCGCCATGAAACACTTTATTGTTTTTATTATTCTTATTTCTTATTTGTTGTTAGTACTGTTAGCTACCATTTATTGAGCCTCTTCCGAGCCAGGCTGTAACATTGCCTTGTTTAATCTTAACTCTATGAGGCGGGTGTTGTCCCATTCTACAGATGAGGCTGGTGAGCTTCAGAGAGGAGATTTGCCCAAGGTTTCATAGCTGGCGAGTGGGGATTATGATTTAGGTCCGCCATACCCCAAAGCCTGTGGTACGCCGTTTCTGGGTCAGCCTCCCAGCTCAGGCTGTTTCTCAATCTGCAGGGCATCCCTTCTGTTGGTTGTTGTTAAATGGGGGAGACCAGGGTCAGAAAGCCATCACCTTCTGATGAGTCGGTCCGGCGTTTGGCCTGAGAATGTGCATTGTTTCTAACACATTCCCAGGTGGTGTTGACCCTGCCGGTCCTGGGACCACACTTTGAGATTCGCTGGTTCGATCAGTGCTGTTACCATAGTCCTCCATGCCTCCCTCCTCCCCCACCCACCACAGTCAGGTGCGCTTAGAGCCTTATAGACCTTTTCCTGTACATTTGCATATGTATTATCGTACACAAAGAATTATGTAGTTTGATTTTCCTCTTTATGCACGTGAGATTATAGTCTACCCGCTATATTCTACAATTTAGTTTTTATTTCCATTTCATGTGTCTTGGAGAGCATATACCTCTACCTCATTCTTTTCAGAGGCACCATGGTTTTCCAGGCTTCAGGTGATTATAGTTTTATTTACCTGTTGTCCACGGATGGCTGGTCTTCCACATTTTAGACATTACGCATAGTCCTGTAAAGTCGCTGAGAACGTGGATGAGTATTTCTCCAGAACATCGTCATCCCTCAGTAATGTCAGCCATTATTATTGCTGGGTTTTGTTTCATTGTTAATATTGCATTCCAGAAATCCCCTTTCAGGTGGGGACAGGAAATGAGTATCTGTTTAGAGCTTCTAATGAAGTTTTTAACACAGTAGTTCTGCTAAGAAGAAAGAGGTGCTGTGGGGCTTTGAGGGATGTGTAGGAGAGCAAAGGAGGAGGGGAGAGAACAGCAGGCAGGATTTAGCTTAGCTCCTGGTAGATTCAACCCTTGCCGGAGGGTGGGGCCTACCTTGATATCTCTTGGTCGGTCACATGGCAAAATCAGGCCTTGACCAAGGGCTGCCGGAGGTCCAAGTTGGCAGCACCATGAGTAAGAAGTTTGGCCCAATGCCCGGATCCAGCCAAGCCCAGCTCTGACTCGCCTCCTTCCTTCCTGTCTCCTCAGGGTGGGGGGTCCGGGGAGGAGCAACTCTGCGCTGACTTTCCCGAGCTTGACCTCTCCCAGCTGGACGCCAGCGACTTTGACTCAGCCACCTGCTTCGGGGAGCTGCAGTGGTGCCCAGAGAACTCCGACACTGAACCCAGCCATTATAGCCCCGATGACTCCGAGCTCTTCCAGGTATGTCCTCTGAGGCTTGCGGTCACTCTCTGCTCCTGAAAGCCTGGCTCTGCCCTGCCCCACCTGCTTTTGCATTTGCTCATGCAGAGAAGTCTCATCACCCCCTAAAGCTCTTGGGACCCTGCCTCTTGCCCTGGATCTGCCCTTGATCTTGGGCAGTTCTCACCCCCTCACCGGGCCTGTTACCACCTCCGCACAGTGAGGGCCGGGAAGAGCTGCTCTTGCCAATCCCCCCCCCAAGTCAGAAGCAGCCCCCCTATGGGCCCCAGGTGGTTTAAAACCTCGAGACCTCCCTTCCCTGTATTATCTCACTGAATTCTCATCCCCACTCTGCGAGGCAGGTGTGATTATGAACCCATTTTATAGGTGAGGAGACTGAGGCTTCGGGAAGTTAAGTCATGTGCTGAGGGCGATTCACCTGGTCAGTAGCTGAGCTGGTTGCAAACCCAGTCGGCCTCCCTCCTGAGCCAGGGCTTTGTAACCACAGCGACACCATAATGGAGATGACTCACATGTATTGAACAACTGCTCTGTGGCAGGACTGTCCCTGTTGTGTCTATTAACTCATTTAATTCTCTTAACAACTCTTAGAGCGGGTACAGCTGTCTTCATTTTTCAGCTGGGGCCTAGAGATTGTTCAAAAAGAGGCAGTTCTGAGAACTGCAGTGCATATCAGTGCCTCTCACCTTGCATGCTCTGCGTCCAGTCTCGGGGGCCCGTGATGGGTGACCTTTTCTTTAAGAAGCCCCCGAGTATGGAATATTATGATGTCTGGGACTTGCTTCAAAATACGGCAAGCTCTGCATGCATTTGTGGGTGTGGGTGTGTCGGGGAGGGCAGTATGTGAAATAAGATCCGCCGTGTTGAAGCTGAGTGATGGGTACAATCAGATGTATTATTCTTTCCTTGAAATCCGCTCCCCCATAAAGACTGGCAGGAGAAGGCCTCGCTCCCCATGTCTGTCTGGCAAGATAATCATCATACCAGTAATGGACCGTGCGCATGTCACGTGTCATGCTGGTGTGCCATGAGCGTCATCTCAGTCCCGATGGATTGTAGTGCTCCTAGAAATGGAAGCTCCCTCTTCTTGTCAGGCACTGTGCTGTCTACAATCTAGAGAGAAAACTGACCGGAGCTCAGTTAACACAGAAACCGTGGTCATCGTGACACGCGCACAAAAGAAACGAGCCGGGTGTGAGAAGGGGATCCAAAGACTGGATGATCAGGAAGGGCCTCTCCAAGGAGGCCATGCTTCAGTTGGAGGTTGAGACGGATCAGCCGTGTGAAGCTCAAAGAGTGGGGACAGAACTTTCCAGGCAGAGGAAGCAGTAAGGGCAGAGCCAGGGAGCAGGAAAGCTTGCTGTGTTGGGGAACAGAAGAGCTGCGGGTAGCAGGGGAGAGTCAGAGAGGTAGGCAGGGGCCGGATCATGCAGGGTCTCGTGGGTCATGGTGAGGAGTCTGGATTTTTCCCAAGTCTGTTCTAACCTATAAAGAAAGGACTATTAATAACCATTTTACAGGCGAGGAAAGCGAAACTCAAGAGGGGTTAAGGAACCTGGTGCCAGGTCACACAGCTGGAAGGGTCCGGGGAAGACTCTAACTGAGGAAGCCATACCCCTCAGTGCTGAGCAACCTCTCTACCAACGCTATGCAGAGCAGCATGGCTGGGCTCCAGTTCTGGCTTTGTCCAGGCACCTGCATTCTTTATTTGAACGACAGGGATGAGACCTACGCTATGCTGCTTTCTCCCTCAGGGGGGGCTAACCTCCGGAAAATGCTTTCAGGTCATGGAGAGCTGGTGAGCGAGAGAGGTGTAGATGCTTCATGGAGACCACACCCACCTGAACTGAACAGGCCCCCACTTCCTCAGACTGGCCAGTCCCACCAGCAAGCCCCTGCCGAGATCCCACTCTGTGCTTGAAATGGTCTTGGGCACAAGTGAGCCTATGTGGCCCCAGGGCTCCCAGCCCAGCGAGGAAGGCAGGGCCCTCACAGACGGATAGCAGCCTGGCCGACCCCTGCCCACCCAGTCCCTCCCCCGTCACGGTCTGCACACCCCCACCTGCCCTCCCAAGCCCAGGCCAGTTCCACCCATTACCCACGGATGCGCCCCTGTGCATGTGATTATGTGATCAGTGCCTGCCCCCCCCCCCCCCCCCCCGCCACACACAGCATAAACCCCATGACCTTGGGGGCCACAATGGCATTATGCGCTGCTCTATCCTCAGGCTCTGCACAGAGCCTGGCACTCGTTCGGGCCTTAACAAACAGCTATCAAATGAGTAAATCCCTCAAGGCCCAGCTCTACTGTCGCCTCCTTAGGCAGTTGGTGAGTTCCTCTCCTGGGCTCCCATCTGCGTGTGCGCACGCACGGGCGTGCCTGTGTCTCCGTGCCCTTTAGACGGTGAGTTCCTTGAGGACAAACAGCATTGCATTAGTCTCGGGCCGTCACACGTCGTAAGGACTCAATCACATGCGTTGAATGAAGGAACTGATGGTGATACTTTCTTTCCTGCCAAGGACCAGATGTGGCCCATTCCACAAACCTCAAGCTCACGTCGTGGGTTCTCCCTCGGCCGCAAGCTCGGTTTTCTCAGTTGGCCACTGGGAATCCTGGGGCCATGCTGCCTGGGTCAGAGCCGGGTTCCCCCAGTCAGATGGTGCCACTGCTATGGAAACAGACTGGGAGCGTGGAGGGCAAGCCACGGTGACAGGGTTAACAACTCCTCGGGGGCAGGGACGGTGCCCTCTATGTCTCTGCGTTTCCAGAGTCCTCCCGCCAGGACCACAACCGTCGCTAAGTATTTTTGGAGGAAGCAGGCTTTGGTTGTTCTGTCAGTTTGCTGTGTGGTCTTGGGCAGGGAGCTCCCTGAGTTGGGTCTCAGTTTCCCCATGTGGGGAATGAGGAAGGAATGTGGTGGATTCAATCAGTGGTTCTTAATCCGTTGAGGGGAGAGTCACCAGGTCCTTTTAGACTCTGATGAAATCTGTGGACCCACTGCCGGAAAAAAAGGAAAAACCGATTTCCTGGGTTTTCTGGAGCCCAGTTGAGTCTCCTGGACAGGCGGGATTTCTGTCCCTTGTAGCAGAAATCCTGTTCTATGTCATTCCGGAATTCAGGCCCCTTCTAGACCTTCAAAGTGAAGCATTTTCCCTGGGATTTCTTCAAGACTCCTTTTCCTCTGGCTTGAGAGCAGCTCAGGAAGGCTGGGGTGGGCTGAGGCTATTAATATCCCTTCCTTCCCTGATTAACTCTCCATTAATTTGCACTCCGCTTCCAAGTGGAGCAGGCAGAGCCCGGCCAGTGGGCCCGCGAAGAGGAGAGGGTGGTGCGGCCCCTGTGATGTATTATCCTGGGTGCTGACAGACGCTGTGGACACTGTGGGCAGATGGGCCTTGCTTCCCGGCAGGGTCAGGGCCTCCAACCCCACTGGCTGCTCCCGAGCTGGAGCAGCCCAGGGAGGGCAGAGGAGAGGGGGCAGGTCTTACTCATTTCATTTTGGCCCAGCCTATTGGGTGCTTCCTGAGGGCTTGGCTGTTTTACGTTCATTTTCCCATGGTGCCTGGCACACAGTAAATCCTACCCCCACCCTGACTTGCTCTGTGACCTTGACAAGTCTGTTTCCTGGACCTTCATTCCACCCCCACCCCCCGCAAAAAAGAATGGCAAATAGGTTTCCTCATAAGGAAATGAGGAATGTCAGTTATTGCCTGGAGGGCTCTGTTACAGATGTTGGTGTAGGGGCACCTGGGTGACGCAGTCAGTTAAGCGGCCGACTCTTGATTTCAGCGCAGGTCATGATCTCAGGGTGGTGAGATCGAGCCCCGTGTCGGGCTCTGTGCTGGGCGTGGAGCCTGCTTGATTCTCTCTCTCCCTCCGTCCCTCCCCCTCCTTGTCTTAAAAAAAAAAAACAAACAAACCCAAAAACCAGGAAGATACTGGCGTGGAAAGAACAAGAGCCACAGTTGGTGAATGATATGGGGGAGGGGCAGTGGCGTGTCAGGCCCACGTTTAACACCCCTGGTCATTACATGATCCCTGAGGGATCGAGCTCTGATGTGTGTGATAATTCATAGTATCTCTGGGCCATTGGCTGTGTCTCTGTGAGAAAGGGGGAGCTCTCGTTCCATCCGGAGCTGGTGACATCATTTCTGAATAGCTTCCCTCTAGAATCTCTCCTTCGAGATGCTCATCTCAGTATCTCCCGGTGGCCAGAATTCACTGTTTGGTGCATTCGTTGTTGTGTTCGACAAAATCTGCCTGGGTGCCACCTGCCCCAGGCGCTGAGCTAAGCTTGGGAGCACCCTCTGGAGGAGCACTTTCATCATTACTTCCAGACCTGGCCTTCCTGAGCAGACAGTGGGGGTGGGGGGTGAGGGATCATGTTTTCCTGTTTTACAGAAAAACCAGCAACGCTTAGAAGAGAGAAGCGATTTGCTCACAGTCACCCTGTGGTGGCACAGTCTCATGTGGTCAGCCCCCAGGTGGTCATTGGGTCCCTGGTTCCAAGCTCTTACTTCACTCCCTATCAGGAGAGACAGATCACTCTGGGAATACCTGGGACTCTGGCCTGAGGGTGGTGGTGGGGGGCAGTCAAATGAGCCCATCACGTTCTCGAGCCAGGGTCTGCAGGCCCGGATCTGCCCCTGTGTTGTTGCCCTCCCCCAGCACCGCCCCCCTCCCCCCGCCCACTCCCCAGGGCCTGGGGCAGGTCCAACCAAAACCTTCTTTTGACCTTTCTTTTATTTTAGCTCTGTTCCAAAAATGACAAATGCATTTGTTCTCTCCGCCCCATGTCCCCCCTTCGAGTTACTCAGCTGCTGCTCCGGTTGTAAGGCCTGGAACGGGCTGAGTGCAGCCAAAGGCTGTCACGAGACGCGATTTTCAGATGCACTCCCTGAAGAAGGGATAAACACCCTGAGCTGGGATGGGACAGAGTGCGGGCAGAGGCATCACGTGACCACAGGCGCCTCCTGCCAAAACAGGCCCAGGGGGCAGCGCTTCCTGAACGAGGTGCTCGGTGCCTCACCTGGGAGCTGTGTGATCGCCACGCTTCAGGGCTTCTGGGCATGGGGGCCCGCGGGCTGCCGTCTGTGGGCGGGCAGGCCTGTACGTGCTGACCCTTGTCATTGTAGGTCTTAGGCATTGGAGGAGCTCGAGTCCCGGCTCATCTGTGCCCTAGTGGCCTCGGTGGAAGTCCTCCCCTGTGCTGGATTTGCTCTGTGACCCTGGACACCTTGTTCAGCCTCCACGTGCCTCAGTTTCCCCAACTGCAAAATGGAGATGAGAGTAGAACTCCCATCATAGACCTCGTTGTGAGGCTTCCCCGAGGCAGGATTCATGGAGCCTTTCTGCTCCTCTCCTTGGCCCCAGTCTTTGTCCCTGGCTTTTTGCTCCAGGTTTTCCCCTCTGCCTGGAGTCTTCTGTTGCCCCCCCCCCCCACCCCTTTGCCTGGCACCTTCTTGTCTTCCAGGCCTCGGCTGAAGTGCCAGCTAGCTGCTCAGAGCAGCCTCCTGGGACCCCCCTCACTAGCCTGTAACTCTTCACCACGTTGTCTCCGTCGCAGCTTCCGTTTACTTTCTTCCTAGACTTTCATTCTCTGAAATGATCTTGTTTGTTCCCTTGTTCTAAGTCTGTTCTCCGCTGGGGAGGATGCTCCATGGGGGCAGGGGCTGCCCCTGTCCTGGCATGCAGTAGGACCGGTGCCCGGACCCTGCCGGGCGCAGCGTAGCCATTCGGTACACGCGTGTTTGGGGAGGGGAGGGAGGGGGAGGGGGGAGAGGCTGCCTGCACCACTACCACCGTCATCCCAGTAGCGATGGGAGTGGTGGTCGTGAGTACTTATTATGCACCAGGCACCATTTGTTTGCGAGGCATCTTCATATACGTTCACTCAGATGAAGTCAGGTCCTCGACAGTAACCGTAAGAAGTAGGTACTGTTGTTGCGTGGGACAGATGAAGAAACTAAGTAACTTGCCTGAGGACCCATGATTGATAAGTATGGGATCTGAGATGCAACCCCAGCTCCAGAGCCCAAGCTCCTGACCACTCCTGAGTGGTGGGCGAGGCCAAGGAACCCCCTGGGACATGGGAGCGGTTTTATTATTGCTGTGGTTGTCATTGTCACGGCCAACCCCAAAGCTTCCATCCTGTACGCTGCCTGCCTGGGCTCCGGCATCAGTGGGGCTGCGAGGCTGCAATGGGATGCTGCTGCCAGAGGCAGAGACCAGCTTCAGGGGCCAAGGGCTGTGTCCCAGGAGTCAGAACAGGAGGCTGTGGTGTGGGAGGCCGCTGTCCTTGGTCAAGGGGACAGCAGGTGTCTTCCAGGTGGACAGCCCTGTGCTCACACTGAGCCAGGATTGGAGCTTCCGGGGCGAGGCTCTTTCCAGTATCACCTGCTGCCTGCTCGCAAACTTCTGATTCCTGGAGTCTCTAACATATTTCTTGGGCATCTGCTATCCCAGCGATACTGAGAGATCTGAGAGCGGGGGAAGGACGGGAGAGGATTTGGCAAGGGGGTGATGGTGGTGCAGCTGCATGTGCAGAGCAGATTTCTACCAAGAAGACGTGCAGACGGCCGAGCCCAGGGTACTGACTAACCGTGTCCCTCTCTGCTCCACCGCACTCCTCACTTCAGATCATCGACAGTGAGAATGAGGCCCTCCTGGCAGCGCTCACCAAGACCCTGGACGACATCCCTGAAGACGACGTGGGTCTGGCTGCCTTCCCGGCCCTGGATGGTGGAGACGCACTATCCTGCACTTCGGCTTCGCCTGCCACTTCATCTGCACCCCCCAGCCCCAGCCCCTCGCTGGAAAGGCCCCAGGCCCCGACGCCTGAGGTGGACGAGCTCTCCCTGGTGAGAACCTAGTTTCAGCTGATGTGATGGTGGTGGGCTGGGCTGTAGTGTCTGGGTGTAGGGTCGTGGGTGCAGGGGAGGCAGCACCAGCCGCTGCAGGGCTCTCTGTGCACCACTGAGCAGCCTGGAAGGCCTCTCCGGGCCTGTACAGCTGCACCAACTCTGCAGGCTCCACCTGCACTCTGTAGGTCCTTTGGGATTTCATGGATTGACCTTCCTTGTGTGGTAAACCCTCAAAATCACGTGTAAACCTTTCCCTAAAGGTTATGCATGCACGCGCAATAAAAATTCAAGCAGGAAATGTGGATAGTTAAAAGCAAAATCTCCTTATCCATTCCACAGTTGTGTTCTCCTTGCCTGGAGGTAACCATGGTTACCGATCTGTTCTGTGACTTTCCTCTTCCACCTTTTTTTTTTTTAAACTACAAAAGGGAGTCTACATTATACACCGCTCTGTACCTTTTCTCAGTGAACTGTCTTGAAAACTCAGATGAGCACAGGTCACTCTGTTCCATCCTTTTTGTCAGCTGCATAGTGTTCTTTTGTAAGGATGTACCATAACTTGTTTAACTTGTCCCCCGGTTGGTGATTTATGTTGTTCCAACTCTGATTGCTACACTGTTGGGGTCAGTGCCCCGGCACAGGACTTTGCCTCATCTGAGTGGGTGAGTTTCTAGCAGTGGAATTCCTGGGCCTCCAGATACCTGATGTTTCAGTTTAGACAGCTCTTCCAGATTGCCCTCCACAGAGTTTGGGCTGATTGATGCTCCCACCAGCAGAAGTTCAATGCCGTCTATGAGTATATGTGGAATGGGGGAATGAGCAGTTTTCTGCGCAGCTTTGCAGTTTTCTGAGGAGAGGCTCTCAGCTTCTCAGGTTCTCAAAGGAGTCCAGACCTCAAAAGTTACTGAAAGCAGTTGCCCCTAATTCAGACTGAGGGTGTTGGAAGCTGGGAGCTGAGATGTCATGGGGCGTGTGAAGTCCAGCTTCACTCAGCTATCTTGGGCTCTGTGCCTTGGCGCTGCAGCTCCTGGGGGCTGAGAAGACCCAGCTGGAAAATCGGAGCCTACTGAGCTGGGAAGGGTCTTGGGTCATGGAAAGTTCTGAGCGGAAAGGCCCTTGGTGACTATCAAGTGCAGCTCTGGGAAAACTGAGGCCCAGAGCAGGGAGGGATTCTCCTGTGGTCACAGAGCAAGTCAGTATTCTGACTTCTGGTCCAGGAGCCTTTTCCTTCTTTCCCACTGCCTGTAAGTTCCCCAGAGCGGCATGAAACATTTAGTAAGCACCTACTATGTGCTGGGCACGAGAATGTGTTCAGTCCCACATTGTGGCTTCTGCTGACAAGAATCCGACTGGGTCTGAATCCCAGCCCCACCAGTTAGTGCTTGTGGGTCCTTTAGATTCCCAATATCTCTGATTTAGCTTCCTGGTCCATAAGGTGAAGCTGATAATAGGGCTTATCTCAAAGGCTGTTAAGAGGAGTCCAGCAGATAATGCATGGAGAGCACTTAGAACGGTGCCTGGCACATAGCAGTTGCTCAGTAAATACTATCTAAGTAATAGTCCTGGCGGTAGTACTGCCAAGAGGAATTAGTGTGGGGACTCTGGGGAGCGATCAAGCCCCAGAGAGGCAGAGAGCGACCCCCGCTGGCCACAGGGTGTTTCTCTCCCGTGCCTCAGACTGCCTTTCCACCTAGGTCTGTTGAGCACTTCAGGCACTGTGCTAGGTGCACAGGAAACAGACTCACCATCTAGACTCCCAGCATACCCAAAGAGTTCAGAAAGGCCCTGAGAAGTGATCCAGATGCCCAGTTTTCATGGATCCCAGAGAGTCCACTGGTGTACTGACCTGGACCCACGGACCTCTACATATCCGTGCGTCTTTCTGAGGTCAGCAGCTTCTGTCTTATCCCTTGAGAAACTCCTGAGTCCAAAAAGGTTCATAACCAGTCCTTGAGTGTTCTTGCTGCCATTATGCCAATGGAGAAACCAAGGCCTGGAGAGGGAAAGGACTCGCTCAAGGTCTCATCGTGAGTGGGGCTGAGCTGGGCCAGAACCAGGTCCCTCCCACCAGCTCAAGGGTCTTTTCCTGTCCATGTCAGAGGATCACAGAGCTGCGTGTGTTGGTTTGGGGTCTAGGTGCGATGGTGGGAATCGGCTTCTAGGGGAGTGAGGAGTGGCCTTTTCTCTGGTGCCTGAGCCCTTGGCACTCCTTGCTGGGGTGGCCTGGGGGGCATAGCCCTTGAGGGAAGATTGGTGCAATAGCAAACACCCATCATGCTTCCCGACTTGTTCTCAGTCTTGCTGGGACAGCACCCCTGGTGGAATTCCCAGGGGTGCTCGGCTCCCAGCTCTCTTGCTGGGATGCACCACGCACCTGCTCTCTGGGTGCAGAAGTATAACAGCGTCTCAGCAATTTTTATAGAAAGCGTAGAAAAGCTAGACAAACTTTGGTATTCTTCCACCTGTGTAAAAACAATCAGGTGTGTTGGAGGTGATACGTACATATATTTTTTTTTTTTTTTTTTTAAAGATTTTATGTATTTGTTTGAGAGAGAGAGAGAGCATGAGGGGGGGAGGGTCAGAGGGAGAAGCAGGCTCCCCGCTGAGCAGGGAGCCCGATGCGGGACTCGATCCCGGGACTCCAGGATCATGACCTGAGCCGAAGGCAGTCGCCCAACCAACTGAGCCACCCAGGCGCCCACGTACATATATTCTTGCGTGATTGAATTCCACCTTAGGATTGGGTCCCAAGGAGGTGGTTAATAGTCATCGCCTCTGGGAAGGAGGAAGGGGACACCTCGGGCAGGAGGGAGACTTGCTTCTCATTGTCCACCCCTTAGTATTTGTGGTATATATTTTTATACCATTTACAAGTATTACTTTTTTAATTTAAGAAATTAACTTTTATATTTACTTTTTTTAAGATTTTATTTATTTATTTGAGAGAGAGAATGAGATAGAATGAGCGTGAGGGGGGGAGGGTCAGAGGGAGAAGAAATTAACTTTTAACGGAACAGTATGAATAAGCGAAAAGAACAAAAGGGAAATCAGCTGGAATCCCGTACCAAAGAACCATTGTGGTGCCCGGCTTTCCAGATTGTGTGCACATATGTGTGTACCATAAGTGTGTGCAGAGTGTCCCAGTAAACTGTTCATGCCCTATCTTAACAGTAGAATGGGAAGACATTCCCCAAGAAGTGTATGGATTTCTCAAAGGCACAGGTACTCCTCTTGGTTTAGTAACTCTGAAAAGGATTTACATTTTACAGGGATGCTTAGATTGTTAGACAGTCTGCTTTTTATACTTTCTGTAGTGGGAACATATTCATGAAATGCCCTCCCTGTATTCTTCCCATCGTCCTGTGATGACCTGGGGTCAGGGCGTGCTCCATCCCAAGAAGCTAGCTCTGGGCTCAGACTTCTCCCCGAGCCACATTTCTCCACGGCCCCCAGCCAGAGCCCAGCCCCAGCTCCTGTCCTCTCTGCTTCTCCCACAGCTGCAGAAACTCCTCCTCGGCACGACCTACCCGACCTCAAGCTCTGATACCCAGAAGGAAGGGACCGCCTGGCGCCAGGCAGGCCTCAGGTCTAGGAATCAGCGGCCCTGTGTCAAGGTATTTGTGCATGTGTCCCCACATCCACCCCGGCCCCCAGGTGGCCTCTGAGGGGTGCAACCTTCAGCTCTTATTAGGGGGTATCGAGTTCAGTCACCTTCCATTTGCCCTCCTTGTGCCTCACATAGCCGTCGTAGCTGGTGTGCTGGGTACTTCTTGAGGCCCAGGCCAGTTTGGGGTTCTGGAAAGAGCATTGGACTTTCTCCTACACCTCAGTGTTTGAGGCACCGTGTTAGACATTGGGTTAGAGCAGAGACAGGAAGATGTGGCCTGCTCTCAGCGGGCTTATTCTAATGGGTGACACACGGAAACCTCAGATCCTCGCTGCAGACCACAGTAAAGAGTTTGGATTTCTTCAGGGGGGAAGCCATGGGAGAGTCCCAGGCTCTGTTGTGAACACCAAGGAGTGAAGCAAATCCCTTTTCCTCCTTGGACTCCATCTTCCAAGACTTTCAGAGGTTTCACAGGTGATTCCTGGCATTCCCGTGACTCAAAGCCTGCACTTGGTCCTTCCCCTTGGGTCCCTAGACACTCCTGCAGGGTACCGTTGCACACAGTCCCATGCCCTCGGGGCAGAATCAGGGTTTTGTTTTGTTTTGTTTTTAACAGTTTTATGGAGGCTTCACTTACCTATCATAAAAGGCACTTATTTCGAAAGAACTATTCGATGATTCGTAGTAGAGGTACAGGGTTGTGCAGCCATGACCACAATTTAGTTTTAGAACATTGCCGTCATCCCAGAAAGCTCCCCAGCACCCCCATGTACAGTTAATCCCTCTCCCCACACCCAGGCAACCACTAATGTGGTTCCTGGTGCCATTACTGAAGGGTGTAGTGCAGGGGAGCAGGGTGGTCAGAGCAGGGCTGCGGCAGTGAACTGGGTAGGGGTGAAATCCGTGGCTGGGGGGCCTGTTAGGAGGCTGGTCATTCCTTTGCTCCTCATTACCTGAGCACTGCTAGATGCCACGTGGGCCCCAGCTGGTGGCTACAGGCGTGGGGCAGAGTGGAGGGGGGGCGGCATGGGCCTCCCTCCTCACTCGGCCCTCTTTCTCTCTCTAGATGGACGGCACCCAAGACAAGAAGGCCCCCACGATGCAGTCTCAGAGCCGGAGTTGTACAGAACTGCATAAGCACCTCACTTCGGTGCCGTCCTGCCCCCAGACTAAAGCCCGCTCCCCAGACAGGAGCTTGCAGCCACCACCCACCCTGAGTCCCCAGCTCCCAGCCAAGGAGGAGGAGGAAGCTGGTGAGGACTGCCCGAGCCCCCAGCCGGCTCCAGCCTCGCCCCAAGACTCCCCAGCACCGGGCAGGGCAGGCCCCGGCGCCCAGGGGTCCCGGGAGGACATGCAGGCGATGGTGCAGCTCATTCGCTACATGCACACCTACTGCCTTCCCCAGAGGAAGCTGCCCCCACAGGCCCCGGAGCCAGCCCCCCAGCTCTGCGGCAGCCCCTCCAAGCAGGTCAAACCCCGGCCCCGGTCCCAACACCCTTCCAAAGGCTCCTGGGCTGAGTTCTCCATCCTGAGGGAACTTCTGGCTCAAGATGTCCTCTGTGATGTCAGCAAACCTTACCGCCTGGCCACACCTGTCTACGCCTCCCTCACGCCCCGGCCCAGGCCCAGGGCCCCCAGAGACAGCCAGGCCTCCCCTGGCCACCCGTCCCCTGTGGAGGAGGTGAGGATCACAGCGTCGCCCAGGAGCACCGGGCCCAGACCCAGCCTGCGCCCACTGCGGCTTGAGGTGAAAGGACACGCCGGCTGGTCAGCCAGGCTGCAGCGGGAGGAGGAAGAGGAGGAGGAGGAAGAGGAGGAGGAGGAAGAGGAGGAGGAGGAGGAGTGGGGCCGGAAAAGACCTGGCCGAGGCCTGCCGTGGACTAAGCTGGGGAGGAAGCTGGAGAACGCAGTGTGCCCCGTGCGGCGTTCCAGGAGACTGAACCCGGAGCTGGGTCCCTGGCTGGCATTCTCCGATGAGTCTCTGGTCCCTGCGGAGCCCCAAGGAGCTCTGCCCTCGCTGCGCCTGGCTCCTGAGGCCTACGACATGGCGGGGGCACTGGGCAGCCCCACGGATGAGGACAGTGGCCAAGACCAGCAGCTCCCACGGGGACCCCAGATCCCGGCTCTGGAGAGCCCCTGTGAGAGTGGGTGTGGGGACACGGATGAGGACCCCAGCTGCCCACGGCTCCCTTCCAGAGGTAGTCGGAGTCGGTGGTCTGCAAGAGAGGGGGCAGGGATGGGGCGTGGCGTACCCCACTGCGCTGGGAGCCAGGAGCCCTGTGCTGGGCAAGTCCCTTCCCCTCTCCAGCTCTCGACTTCCCTTTCTGTGCAATGGGCTAGTTGGGCGGATCTTCAGGAATCACCCACCCATCTCTGAGTTTCTCATCACGCATGGGCCAGGCACCACTTAATGAACACGGAGCGAGATGCCTGCCTTCGTGGGGCTTGTGTGTCAGTGGGGCAGACAGGCAATCACAAAGTAAATAAAAAAGGAAGATAATTACAAATTGTGCTAAGTGCTCTAAAGAAGACGTCCTGGGTGACGATGTGACGAAAGGAGTGAGTCTGTAAATCCAGCTCCCTAATGATGTTGAATTTTAAATGGTAACAGTAGTGGTGGTGATTATAACAGGTACCTATTGTATGCTTCTGCCAGGCGCTGGTCTAAAACTTGACCCAGCTTAACCCCACTGACTCCTCACGGGGGGCCTTTGTGGTAGGTGCGGGCATAATCTCCATTGTCAGACACAGAAACTGAGGCACAGAGGTATCGAGCAACCCGTCCAGCTAGCAGGTCCTTCATCCATCTGTCCACCTGTGCCTGGGCCCCCCAGCTCCTGGTCTTCCCTGGGGCTCCCCTCCCCCCGACTGTAATACACCGTTTGGCCAGAAGGGGTCACCTGCTCTTTCCGAAACCTCCCGTAGCCCTGCCGCTGCTAATGTTGCTGAGATCCTGGGAAGGAAGGTGGCTTTGAGTTGTCCCTGCCCTTCCCTAAAAATGATGGAGGCTTTTGGGTCACATGCCTGCAGGGAGTCCTGCTTGGCACCAGTGGGAGTTCGGGGTTTCCTCCAGAGGGAAACACCTGCTAGTGATGCCGTGTTGGGGAATCTTATTTTTTTTCTTTTTCATCTTCTTTTCAGACTCTCCCAGGTGCCTCATGCTGGCCTTGTCACAAAGGTAGATTTTTGGAAATCACTGGTTTATTATTCCATGAGTCTTTGTCCCGTTGGGTATGTGTATCAGGGGTGGGGGGTTAGGTGGGTGGTCAGCCTCTGTGCCTGCCCCTTCCCATGCCCCCACCCTCACTGCCATGTGGGGCCCGCAGTAGCTGGGGTCCCTTAGAAGGGAGGTCTCTGCAGGCCCAGGAAAAGTGGGGAATTAAGGTTTCAGGCCATTCCAGAAGCTGTCCTCTCCAGGACGGGGGAGGGGGGTGGAATTCTTTTCTCTGCAGGGGAAAGCTGATAATGCTGTGTGGCGTTGGCAAGTCTCCTCCCCACTCTGGGCCTTAGGTGCTCGTTCTGTAAAATGAGGGTGTTGGAGGGTGATGATGCTTGCCCTCTCTCTATCCTCCAGAAAATGTCTCCTGTGTCTCCTGCCAGAGCCGTAGGCGGCTTTGACTTCCTCTAAGCCAGGATGGGGGTTTCCCAGAAAATTCTCCCCGGGACCCACGTCTGTGGGCAGCAGAAGCAGGGTCTGTCCCGGTGTCCCCTTGCCCCCCTTGCATGGCGGGGAAGTGGAGCCTGCTGCTGATTGGCCTCTTTCCTTTCTGTCCTCCCCACTCCCACCAGTGACCCTCCTTTCGGCAGGAAGAGCTTTGAGCAGACCTTGACGGTGGAGCTCTGTGGCACCGCAGGTGAGCCTGGGGCTCGGCTGGTAGGGTGCCCTTGGGGGAGCTGACACGACTCCTGGCCACGAGTCCCCACACCGAGCGGCCCCCTCGAGCCGTCCCTGCCACTGCCGCGCAGGCTTCAGGGGGCCTGAAGGTGCATGATGAGGGTGTCGTAAGGGGGAGAGTCAGCCGATCGGCTGCAAACGATCCGCACATGAGCTGAGGGCGGGGTTAGGAAAGGGACACACGTCTCCCCCCGGAAGGAGCCCGCCATCTTCTGTAGGAGACAGACTCACGCCACGACGAGTCCTGTTCCAGGCACATGTGTTCAAAGTGTGTGCCACGGCTCTGGGAGCACGCAGGAAGGGGTGGCCCGGGCAGGAGTGTGGCCTGGGAAGATTTGCAAGGCCTCCAGAGCAGGGGGCTTATGAGCCGGGCTTGCGGGAGGAGCAGAAGCTGGGGAGATGAAGAGGTGGGAAGGAGGTCCCTGGCGGGCAGGATTGACGGGAGCAGTGGCACATGGGGTGAAATCACAGGTGCCCCTGGGGAGGCTGGGTACCTGGAGTCGCTGCGTAGCAAAAGGGGGGCGGGCAGGAAAGAGCCATCACAGAAGGCCGAGAGGAACGCCAGGCTGAGGGTTTGATCTCCATCCTGGAGGCTTCAGGAGCCCCTAAAAGGGAGAGATCTTGGGTGTTTAGCAAGTGCCCTTGGGTGCATTGGGGAGGATGGAGGCCAAGGTCAGATGCAGGAAGCACTGATGGCACTGTGGCAGCCCGGTCCAGGTGGGAGGTTTGACCTGTGGCGCCTGCCTCCTTCCCACTCGGGGAGACCTCGGAGCCAGTTGAGAGAGCTTGTTGAGTGACTGGATGTAGAGCAGGAGGAGATATCTCAAAGGACCTGAAGGTTTGGGCTACTGTGGTCAGGCTACAGAGGGATGGCAAGGGGATTTCGTCACATGCCCGCTCAAGATTGGCTGTGGACTGTGTGCACAGTCCTGGGCCACATTCAGGCTCAGCCAGCCGTGCAATGATTGGTTAGTGACGCCTGCCATTCATTGGGCTGGGTCTCTGCCCATTGGAGAAGTGATCTGTCTCCGCCTCACAGGGTTCTCCTCTTGCTTGGCTAGGACTCACCCCACCCACCACACCTCCCTACAAGCCCACAGAGGAGGACCCCTTCAAGCCAGACATCAAACACAGCCTAGGCGAAGACAGAGCTCCCAGCCTCCCCAGCTTGGAGGGCCTCCAGCTCAGGGCTGCCCCCGTGGCTGCCCACAAGCTGCCAAAGAGGCACCCAGAACGGAGCGAGCTCCTGTCCCACCTGCGGCATGCTACAGCCCAGCCAGCCTCCCAGACTGGTCAGAAGCGCCCCTTCTCCTGTTCCTTCGGAGACCATGATTATTGCCAGGTGCTCAAGCCAGAAGGCGCCCTGCAGAGGAAGGTGCTGAGGTCCTGGCAGCCGTCTGGGGTCCACCTTGAGGACTGGCCCCAACAGGGGGCCCCACAGGCTGCGGGGCAGGCCTCCGACAGGGAGGAAGACAGAAGCTGTGACGGCGGTGCCCCTGCCAAGGACAGTGTGCTCCTGAGAGACCACGAGATCCGCGCCAGCCTCACCAAGCACTTTGGGCTCCTGGAGACCGCCCTGGAGGACGAAGACCTGGCCTCCTGTAAGAGTGCTGAGTACGACACGGTCTTTGAGGACAGCAACAGCAGTAGTGGTGAGAGCAGCTTCCTCCTGGAGGAGGAGGAGGAGGATGATGCAGAGGATGACTCGGGGCTCAGCCCCCCTCGCTCTGACCACTGCCCCTACCAGAGCCCCCCAAGCAAGGCCCGTCGGCAGCCTTGCTCCCGCAGCCGCTCCAGCTCCGGCTCCGCCTGCCGCTCCCGCTCACCAGCCACCCGGAGGACCTTCAGGTACGGATGGGTGGCCTCCAGAGGGACAGTGGGCCGCTGAGGACCGCAGTTCCCGGGGTGCCAAGGGAGGGAGGAGCCTGAAGCCAGGGCTGCGTCTCCCCATGTGGCCCACGTCTGGTCCGAGGCCCCAGAGGTTCTCCCTGGGGGAGTTGTGGGCAAGTTCTGGAAGCAAGCAAAGCCTGCTGCGTGATGGTCAGGAGCCACCCAAATCTCTTGGCCCTGGGAGAGGAAGAAAGCCCACTTCCTGGCCATTCGTGGCCTTTATGTCTAAATGAATGTGTCCCTTACTTATCTGTGTTTTCTGCTTTTATATTTGTAAATCGGACGCAGTTTAGTATCTATGTGACAACTACACGTGAAAGGAAGATGAGCAGAATTCTGATCTGCGTTCTAAAAAAAAACCAACCTGGATTTAAAGCAGTGATAAGGTTTATTCCCATTTCTTGGTGCTGCTGAGCTGTGCAGGACTTCTAGCAGCCAGCCGTCCCTCTGGTTGCTGCTGACCTTCCCACAGGGATGGATGGTGCATCATGAGCCTGTGTGCTCATACCATCTTGGCTCACTGAACTGGTCTGAAAGAAGGAGCCGGTCCAAAAGTGCGCGGGGAGCTGGGCAGAAAGAATGAAGGTTTGGCATATGTTGGTGGAGACAGGTTGCTTCTCTCCCTGATCACAGCAGGACCTGATTCTTCACCTGAGGGAGGCCTGAGGAGGGTCAGTGCAGCTCCCAAACCCTCTGCCTGAGATGCATGTGAGTGACCACTAGATGGTGCTCTTGGGCCTAAAGCCGGGCCGCGGCCACCTGGCGCTCGTTACCGTGACGACTGGACCCCACCCGCCCAGCGTCTGATTTTGTGCGTCTGGGGGTGGTGGTGGAGAATCTGCATTTCTAACTAGTTCCAGGTGATGATGATGTCCCGAGTGCCAGACTCTGAGACCCAGAATTCAGGTAATAGAAAAATATCTTTTCTTAGAAAAGCTCGGCTTTATATATCTACACCAGTAGCTCTTATCTGATTGAAAATCTGATTAAAGCAAACACTCCTCTTCCCCTTAAAATGTACATAGACCTCTAACTGGGCATTCGATTTTAGGGGGTTTGTAGACTCTCCAGACACTAAGGTTAAGAAGCCCTGCGCTGTTACTCAAAACGAGTTCCTTCTCGATTTCTTTAAATACCCTTCTATGTGATAAGCCAGGATGATTGGTTGGACCTCTCTGAGCCCTGTTTCCGGCTCCAGTCTCTCCTGGCATCCGCATTAGGCAGTTTCCTCTGCAACATTTTGTAGCTTAGAAGCTACTAAGGCTCTTTTCTTTTCTGAAACATGTCCCCCAAGGCTGGAACTGGAGCTTCTTGGCCTCCTTTCCCTCCTGACCAGTTCAGGGCTGTTGGGGGGAAGGCCTGCATTCATGCACTTGCCTGCAGAGAGTTGGGAGCTTCTCTAGAAACTCCCATGGATTCTCCTTTTCCTCTTCTCGCTTTTGGGCCAAGTTCAGGGCTGGCTTTTTCTGCTCTCTAGAGAAAATTAATTGGTTAATTCGATACTTGCTCAGCTGACAGAACTTGGCTCCTGGTAAATCTGGTAAACCAGTCATCCGTCTTCTCCAAACCCACATTTTTTTCACCCGTGCTGGCAATACCAAACATTGGTCCACAAGTGCTTTGAGCTGGTTTAAAAGAACACAAACCCCATAGTACCTTCCCGTCACTCTCAGCTGATCTTCAGGTGGGAAACTGCCAATCTGTTGCAAATGGATGATGATACTGTTATTCACAGCACTTTAATTAATTAATTAACTAATTTATTTATTTACTTGTTTTTATTGGAGAGAGAGATTCCCAAGCAGGCTCCATGCCCGGTGTGGAGCCCTACTCAGGGTTCGATCTCATGACTCTGAGATCATGACCTGAGCCAAAATCAAGAGTAGGACGCTTAGCTGACTGAGCCACCCAGAGCGCATTTATAGCACTTTAAAGTTTTCAAGTCATATCCCCTTCTGTGACCCTATTTAGCTTCACAGATGCACTTGGAGGGCACGTCTGCTTCTTATTCCCATTTTATAGATGAGGGAGCTGAGGCTCTTAAGAGGTGCAACAGAAAAGCAAGCAAGCAATTATTGAGCAGGTCTTGAGCTCAGCATTTTCTAATGTGCGCCTCACAAATGGCCAAGGAGGCTGTACAGTCAGTTCTCCCTGTCTTACAGTCGAAGAACTGGAGCTAAGGGGATGTAAGTAACTAGCCCAAGGTCACCCAGCAGGGAGGTGGTAGGGCCAGGATTCGAATGCAGGCCGTCTGACCGGAGAGCCGATGTGCTTATCCTGTGTGCTGAGTTTCCCAAGGACGCAGATGGAACGTGCAGAGCCAGGACTCCCCGCCCTCTGCTCATGCCACGCTCCTTCCACTCCAGCAGCTGGCTCCCTGGAGGAGGACAGGCGAGAGGACGCGGGCATGTGGCGCCCAGGAGTGTCCTGGGACTGCGCACCGGGGCTGAAGGGCCTGATAGCCCGACTGGCCGTGGGGGCTGTGACGGCCGGGCTCGCCTCTTGGTTGGGCACCAAGCGCTAGAGGGCAGTGGGTCTAGGATGAGCAGCCCTCCTTCTAGCTCTGGCTCCCCTGCGTTCTAGCTTTAGGCAGATCCCATATTGAACCTGAGCCTTGGGGTTTTCCTTTGGAAAATGGGGAAACGTAAGACCTCATAGGTTGCTTTTCCCGCATCAGATCAAATGCAGTAATGAAGCGAAAGGGCCCTCATGGCATAAAAAGGCGCTGATTAGCGACACGGTGGTTCCCAGCAATCCAGTCCCAGAAGCTGTGGCCAGAGCCATGTGTCTGATGGTGCAGACCCGCACGCAGCCCCGGGCTGTCGCTGCTGGGGGCGAAGCTGGGCTTCTGCAGGCGCCCTTGTGAGCGAGTTCGAAAGAAGCATCCCTTGCTTCCTGGGGCAGCTGCACCCGCCCACCCTGCCGTGGTCCCTCCTGAGAGTGAGTGCCTCTGCTTTGCTTGTTCACTGACAGATGTGAGAGCAGAGGGCCGTGTTCAGACGGAACGCCAAGCGTCCGGCACGCCAGGAAGCGGCGGGAAAAGGCCATTGTAAGTGATCTGGGGCCCCGGAGCCCGGAGCGAGTGGGGAAGAGCAGGGGCATCAGGACGTGCCAGGACTTCCTAGACCCGAAGCCCTTTGAGGCTGGCTGTGGCCTGCAGAAGATAATTCCATTTCTCTGACTTCAGAAAGCACCAGGGTCCCCAAAGGGCACCAGAGGTGGCATCGTGCAAAGTGCGGCCTAGGGACTGGCTGTGAGGCACGGAGCCGGTGGTGATTTTAGGGCTGAGCATCGGAGGCTCGACAGGACCAAGAGGGCAGGCTGTGTGTCGGGGGGGCGGGGGGGCAGCGGGGAGCAGAGCTGGGCCAACCAGGCCACAGAGCAGCCCTGCTGCCACCTTCTGTGTGACCTTGGGCAGGTCTCCCAGCTTCCCTGAGCCTCAGTTTACTCATCTGTACATAAGGGAGTTGGGTCTTGTCATTCCTAAGGGTCCCCCAGCTTGATCAGGGCTAAAGGATCAGGAGAGCCTGCTCCTTGCTTCCCGCTGACCTCCCTCATCCTCCCCCAGAGTTAGTCTCCGGGCCCAGGCTGTGCCAGGAAGCTGCAGAGGAGAGCTGGAACCAGCCCTTCCACGTCACAGGAAGGAAGGGAAGGGAAAGTAAGACGGAGCGCAGAAAGACAGACTTGCGCTTGATTGCTTTCCCCCATGACGGGTGCTCCGGGGCAGAGACGGGGGGTGGGTACATGAGGTGTGCATACCCCAGAGGTGCACAGGTGTCTGCAAGCAGGTCCTTACCAGCACGGGCTGTGCCTGGAGCGTCTTCCTGGAATGCATGTGTGACCATTCAGTGGTTGTGACGTGCTTGGCATGAGCGAGACGGACCAGGTTCCCCCCCTCCCCCCATTCCTGTGGCTGGGGCAGAAGGGGGAGAAGGGCAGCAGACTCATAAACAAGGAATAAGCACTGTAATCAGAGATGGGGAGGGGCGCGGTGGCAGTAATCATGGCAGGCTAAAGTCTCCGAAATAAACAGTCATTGTGTTGACTCTTGGGGAGGATATATTCATAGGGTGGTCTGGGAAGGACATCGGCAAGGAGCTAGATGCTGATGGATGAGAGGAGCCACCAGGCAGTTTCAGGAGGACCGTGGGGCCGAGGCAGCAAAGAACCTTATCAGTTGAAGGAGCCGCCAGGAGCCTGGGGGAGGGCGTTCCTTCACTGAGCAGAACCCCGTTCCCCTGCGATTGGCAGCGGAGGCGTGCCGTGGCCCCTGGGCCGACCTTCCCTCCCTGTCCTCTGTGAGATGAGAATGGAACGGCTCCAGAATCACTGGCCTGAACCTGTTCCCAGAGAAAGCCTGTCCAAACCAGAACCTGTCCATTTGACCCACCGGAGCACAGGTTTCCAGGAATGCAGCTGGAGTTGACCCAGCTGGTCAAAGCAGCTCTTCCACCAGCAGGGCCTTGAACTGGATCCAGTCACAGATTGTAGAGGAGAGGAGGGGACATTCCAGCCTGGGCTTCCACCCCTCCCTCTGCTGGGCTGTTCGAGGGACCCAGCTCGCCTGATGTGACCTCTTAAGTCACAGTGTCTCCACGCTGGCCTGGCACAGCTGGGGATGATGGTGGCTCCAAGCCCCGTGGCCTGCATCCCATTGCCCTCCTCCCAGCCCACCGTGACCCCCACAACGACCTGGCTCCCCATCCTTGCCCATTACCATCTTGGCAACTCTCCTTTCTACCACAGCCTCCCCCACGACCAGAAGAAGTCCCAGGCTCAGAACACAACTGTTAAGTAGGCAGTTACGTTAATGATGATGAACCCTTCTCTTGTCTCTGTCCCTCCTCCGCTCCTTTCCTTCAAGCGAGCAGTTGCTTCCTTTGGGAGCCATTCCCCATCCGACATTCGGCGGCCCCTCCGGCAACAAGGCAGGTCTTCTGGGATAGGGGTCGACACCGTCCTCTCTGACTCCAGCCCCAGCTGGTGTCACCCACTCAGCCAGGTGTCATGGGCTGAGGACGAGGACTCCACAGAAGCCCACCATCGAGGGAGTCCCAGGAAGCCAGGCAGTGACTGGGTCTTTCTGTGTGTCCCTTCTTGAGCAGGGCGAAGGCCGTGTGGTGTATGTTCGAAATCTCTCCAGTGACATGAGCTCCCGAGAGCTGAAGCGGCGCTTTGAAGTGTTTGGTGAGATTGTGGAGTGCCAGGTGCTGACGAGAAGCAGGAGGTGAGTCAGGTCAAGCTGTTGCAGAAGAGGGGAGCGGGGAGGGGCAGAGGTCCCAGTCCGGGGCTGGCCACACAGAAGATGCCCGAGAAGATGTGCAGAACAAATCTGATGAAACCCACAGCCTGGACCTGGAGAGCCAGGCCCCCAGAGAAGGTCCAGTAACAGTCGTGCGGCCCAGCAGTAAGCTGGTGGTTCACTAAGTGCCAGGCAATTCCTGTGCGTTCTCTTCAGCCTTTGGACATTCCTGTGACCTATGCGCTCATTCTAGCGCTCTCCCTTTCGGGAGAGCTCAGACAAGTTAAGTGAGCAGCTAGTTAGTAGCAGAGCTGAATCTGCAGCCCACGTGTCCGCTTCAGGTTTTCTTCCCTGGGGCTGGTACGGGACAGCAAACAACCCCCCGGGGCCTGACCGCACACTTGTACTGGAACGTCGCTGCCCTGCAAGACCCCCACCACTCACATCCCTCCATTCCACTGGACCAGCCAGTTTCAGACCTTTTATTCTGCTGGGCATCTTGGTTTTTCCTCCCTCACCTGGGGAAGCAGTGTTCATCTGTCAGGGGATCTGCAAGAAGAACGGGTTGTGTGTAAATGCACAACTTAGATGTAAAAACTGTCCATTTCGAGATAATTCTAAAGTATCTCCCATTGTATTTGCCAACTAGGTTATTAAGGTTTTTAAATTCTAATTTAATGATCATTTTTTAAAAGCTTCCGTGAGAAAATAGTTTCTATATAGGAATCATTATACACTTCATATCCATTAAGGTGGCTACAGAACATCCCAAGTGTGGAGAAATCAGAACCCTCGTGCACGTTGGTGGGAATGCAGACTGGGGCAGCCACCATGGAAACTGGTATGGAGGCGCTTCAAAAAATGAAATAGAGAATTACCGTATGATCCAGCAATCCCACTGCTGGGTATATACTTCAAAGAATCAAAAGCAAGATCTCAAAGAGATATTTGCACACCCATGTGTATAGGAGCTTTATTCACAATAACCAAGAAGTAGAAACAACCCAAGTGTCCGTTGACTCATGAACAGATAAACAAAATGTAGTCTCTGCATACAGTGGAATATTACTTAGCTTTAGAAAGGGAGGAAATCCTGTCACATGCCTCAAGCATGGATGGACCTTGATAATCATAACCTCATTATGCTCTATGAAATCAGCAGTCTCCGAAGGACAAAGATTGTATGATTCCATTACATGAGGTATCTGGAGTAGTCCAATTCCTGGAAACAGCAAGCAGCAGAGAGAGTGGAGATCCGTTCCCAGTAGCGTGAATATACTGAACTGTACACTTGTTCTAAAGATGGTACATTTTATGTTTTGTGTTTTTTACCACAATTAAAAAAAAAAGTCATTACACAAGTAAATTGTTTAAGTTCTGTGCAGTATTCAGGGCATCAAATGGAAAGAGCATGCAAAAACAAAGTGAGCAGTCCCGGGCGTTTCAAGAGGCAGAAGGGGTCCAACTGTGGCCTGGTTCAGAGAGGAGTCAGGAAATGGAATTCACCCGAGTGTTTATTAGGCGCCTGGTGTTGGTAAGCCCGTCCTCAGCGGTAGGGGGACTCCACCGTCTCTCTGCCCTGAGGATTCTACATAGCAGAGGGACTAGCAGCCAGGATTCTTTTTCTTGCTGTTTGTATTGCTGAAGAGCTGAGGGAAGAACTGACCTTAGGACCCCCTCGCCTCACGTCCTTCTCGTGCAGGCTGCCCTCCGGTGGCAAAGTGGCTGCCTCCAGCTCTAAGCTTATCTACCTCCTACCAGGGAAAGGAGGGGTCTCCCTCACAGTTCCAGCCAAGAGCAAGAGCTGGGACAGATTCTTTGGCTTTCTGTTTTGGGCAGCAGGTGCATCCTTGGACGGGTCGCTGCGAACACACAGCACCGTTGTCAGAGGAAGGGGAGTGGATGCTGAGCAGGCAGACACGGAGTTGCCTACCACAAAGGACGAGATGTGTACAGAATACCAGCTGTATTAGGGAAGGGGGAGGCCACATTAGCAGCCAAGGACGTGGTGGCAGAGGCTGGCTTCGAAGGAGGCTGGAGGGCTAGACTGGGGGTAGAGGTGTGGCCAATAAGCTTTCTGCTGGGAGGCCCGAGTTTGAATACCCTGCCCTACCACTTGCCTTTGGGGCAAATTCTGAACTCCACAGAGCCGGTTTCCTCATCCCTGAGGGGGAGCAAGGTTGAGGTGCGTGGCAGACATTCTGTGAGTCACCGGCTCTTACTATTATTACACAGTAGAGGCCGGCCTAGCGATGGCCATCATCTGTATTTGGGGGGCCATGAGACATGGTTACTGAATCAGTGTGGCTCTTGCTCATTATCTCGTCATGGGTGCTCTGAGAGTGTCGACCAAGCTGGCTCAGTAACGTGCTCCCCCTGACCTCTCACCACAGAGGCGAGAAATATGGCTTCATCACCTACCAGTGTTCGGAGCACGCTGCCCTGTCTCTGAGGAATGGCGCTGCCCTGCGGAAACGCAACGAGCCCTCCTTCCAGCTGAGCTATGGAGGGCTCCAGCACTTCTGCTGGCCCAGACACACTGACTATGGTAAGTGCACAAGGCCCTGCCACACTCCAGTGAAACCTAAAGCCCCCTCTGGACCCAGCTCCCACCCTAAAGCTTTAATGTGCCTGTTGGTCAAACTTCGCAGCCTGGAGGCTGCCATCTTGTTTTTCTTCTGGTCTCTGGTCCGTCTTGTCTAGTCTCAAGACTGGTACCAAGAGAGAGATTCAGGGCCCCCGTGGCCTCTTGGAAGGTCCAGTCTTGTGTTCATAGCCAGTTGGCAGAACCACGATTAACTGTCTCTTTCACCTCCCGGGGCCAGTGGCTGCCCTGCTGCTTTTCAGGGGCATTCCATTGTGGCCCCAACAGGCAGCAGGCAGCCTTGTCTGTTAATGGGCCACAGCGAAATAATACTGTCAGCATGCCCTCACCACTGGGGGACGAGTTAGTGGAGAAGGACAAAGACGTACGATTTAGGAGAGAGTGATCTATGGAGGAGAGTCTGACCTGCCCCCGTAGCACAGGTCTGAGGGTGAGGAAACGCAGGAGGGTTCCTGGCCAGGCCGTGTTTCGCCTGGGCTGCACGTCCACGGGGCATCCTAGCTTTGTTGGCCACCTTAGGTGACTTTGGCAGTGGTTTACTAGTGGGCAAGAAGCTCTTGGGGAGAAACAGCTTTATAGGATATCGGAGCTAGAAAGGAGCTGTGGGGCACGCTAGTTGGGGCCACCACGTTCTGGAAACAGGGCAGCCCCGAGCCGTTGACGACGGGACAGAGGTAATGCTTGCTGTCTAGTGCTCTCTGAGGCCCTGGGCCACACGCGCTCCACGGGGCTGACCCTGGTGGCAGGTTTCCTGATCGTCCGGCCTTTCTGAGTTGCTCACCGCCTTCCCCTCTCCTTGACTCCTCCACCCCCTGCCCAGATTCCAATTCAGAAGAGGCCCTCCCTGCGTCAGTGAAAAACAAGTACGAAGCCATGGATTTTGACAGCTTACTGAAGGAGGCCCAGCAGAGCCTGCATTGATAACAGCCTTAACCTTCGAGGAATACCTCAATACCTCAGACAAGGCCCTTCCAATATGTTTACGTTTTCAAAGAAATTAAGTATACGAGAAGGCGAGAGCGCGAGCGCGTGAGAGAACACACGTGAGAGAGAGAGAGAGAGAGAGAGAGAGAGAGACTTGAAACTGCTGTCCTTTTAAAAAAAAAAAAAATCAATGTTTACATTGAACAAAGCTGCTTCTGTCTGTGAGTTTCCATGGTGTTGATGCCCCACGGCCACTGTAGCGTCCTCGCTTCCGGCGGGCGGCCCCAGGTGCGCCTCCCGGTGCTGGGCCAGCCCCCGTCCCCTCGCTCCCTGACCGGCTTCCCTCGTAGACGTGCAGCCGTGTGCACCATAACATTTCTTGTCCGTAGTATGTGATGATGAAATTGTTACTCGTGAATAGAATCAGGATTATACACTCGTTTTTAATTGAAGACAAAAAAAGTATATCCTTCAAATAACGTATTTATGGCTCAGACGTACTGTGCCTGGGATTATTGTATCGCTTCCTTGATTTTTTAACTATGCACTGTCGTGAGGTGTTTGCCACTGAGCTGCTGTGCTCCCTCGGCCAGGGCGCCCTAGAGGTGCTGGGTGGCTGGCGGGTTGGTCCCCAGGGGAGGGCGGCCTGCAGCCACAAGTCGGAGCAGTGGAGAAAGGCTTCTGGGACTCGCCTGCCAAGCTCTGCCCTGTCTCTCACTGAGCACACGTGGGTCCAGTTCCAGTCGGAACCCTCATCTGGTGCCAGCCGGTGCTTGGAGCTTGGGCCTGGCCTGGAGTGCTCGGATCCTGGCAGACCCTGTAAGGAAGGTGGGGCGAGCCGCCTGAATCTTGTTTTTCCAGGCGAGGCGGGCAGTGCCCCAAGAGGGGATGTGACTTGCCCGAGGTCCCATGGCCAGTGATGGGGCGGAGCAGTGACCCAGCCCAGGCCTCCTGATTCCTGGTCCCATGCCCTTGCAGTAGCTGGGGTAAAAGATGCACAGTTCCAGGGACCGGTGGAGGTGAGACCAGCTACGTTGGGCCACAGGCAAGAGGCCTCTGGGCTTACTCGGAGGGTTAAGTCAAAAGCTGGCTCGCCAGCATGAGGAACGTTTAGGCTCGGGCATGCGTCTTGATCCAGAGGGTTCTGTGGTTTGCCTATACCTGTGGACATGCCATCAGAGCCTCAGTGACATACCTGGAGTGGCACAGGCAGGTGATCTGGGAGCAGTCGTCCTCCTGGGGCCAGCCACCAGCCCATCCTACTTCCACCAGCTTGTCTTCCCCTTCTCACCTGTACAGTTGTCTGGGCGGCATGAGGCAGGGGAAGCAGGAGGGGCGTGTGAGGGCCGGGGGGTGGAGAAGACAATCTCCAAGGTCCTTTCCAACTTAGACAACATTCTAATTGGGCTTTACTTTAAATTTTATGTTCTTGAGTGATGTCAAAACCATGTCCAGCTTGGATGTTCTGCAGGTGCCTTGGAGGCCATTCATGAGGGAAAGCCTGGCCAGGCAGGGTATGAGCTCGTTACCTCCAACTTCATCTTGTTCATATGTCAGGGTTCCTTGGGAAATGTTTGTACTAAGAAGAAAAAAAAGAGAAAAAGTCCTGCTTGCTTTAAAAATAAACGTTTGAAATTAACTCAGTAAACTCAACAAGCTAATTTAATCTGTTGCTCCTGCCAGGCTTAGAAATTTGAGAATTGGTATTTGATCATTATTATTATTTTTAAGATGATCAGATACCTGAGTAGGTATCCAGTGGGCTTGTCCCGGGAGGTGAGCATACTCCAAGCCCATGGAGAAGGCTGGAGGAAACGGGCTTTAGAAGGAATAGGGAATTTGAGCTCCTGTGTATCAAATCACTTCCTTCCACCTCCCTGGGCCCCAACTTCCTTTTCCGCGAAATGGACTGAGGGGCGGAAGTAGGCAAGAAGTAGGCAAGAAGTAGGGACCCTAAGGTCCCTGCCAGCTCTTAGCTTCTGCAAAGGTGGTAACTAGCTCAAGATGGCAATTACATGGCACATGTACCACTATTGGCACATCCTTGGCCAGTGGCAGACATAACTAATCGACCACAGCACTCATGTTCTTTGAGCTTGGGAGTTCTTTTAGAATTCTCAGCACAGTGCTCTGGGCAGCCATTACTAATGGATCAGAGTTTAACTAAACCATCTGACATCCTGGTCTGATCTTTGAAAAGTTTCCATCAAAATAGAACCAAATGGTGGCTGGGTTTCATGCTGGTCCGTCCCTGTCTATCATGTTCTGATCTATGAGAGAAAATTCCCCTAAAGCCATTCATTGGCACAGGACTCCCAATACTGTGACACACAACCCCCACTTGGGTTCGGAGGGGAGCAAGCAGAATAGCGGACATGAAATGTTTGAGGGTGGTGGGGTTTATGAGGATGAACCCAAAAAAGGGACTTTTCCACAGCACGGACCTGAACATTGTAAATTCCTTTTAGAGCTATTCACTGCCTAGCACACAGTAGGCACACAATAAATGGTTATGGAATGCAAGAGAATAGAATTTAAATCTGTCTGCTGCCTCCCCTAAGTCCTGATTTGCACCAAGGAGTATACTGAGGGTTCATCCTGTGGAAACCAGTAGGAAGGAACTCGAGATTCAGAGTCTGGAGAGCTGGGTTGAGTTTTGGCTCCACCAAGAACTCTGTGACCTTGCGAAGTTACAGAATCCCTCCCCCTCTCCTCTGCTCCAGAAGGAGTTGGACCAGAGGTTCTCTAAGCCCCTCCTACTTGCTTCTTCGTTGGTTTGCCCTGGCTCAGAGATTCTCCCCTGGGCAGGTGGTACGGGAGGGTAAAGAAAGGCAGATTTTTAGTAGAAGACCAGTCTCTCCCTCCCCTCTTCTGGGTCAGCTGAGGCTGCCCATCACTTCAGATGGCTGCAGGACACTCGAAGTTCCTTAGATACCGCCCGTTGAGCAGAGCAGAGATGCGAGAGTGGCACTGGGAGGTCCCGTGCCTAAGGTCAGGGCCGGCTGTGTGGGGGAGAGGATGCTGGCAAAGAGCACCAAGCAGTTTCTGCTTGCCATCACATCCCTAACAGGCTACAAGTTGGAACACTGACCGAGCCTGCAGTCAACCTCTATCCGGAAGACTCATTCGGTGCTGTGTACCACTAACCGAGGAGACTCCAAGGTCTCTCCGCGAAACCTAGGCCACCTTGGTCCCTCGCCCACCACACTTGAGGAGTAACCCAGAGGGAGCGGCTGCCGCTGGCAACCATCTCATTGTAGCTGTGTCCTAGTGTTTGCTCTGGATGATGTTTCTGTGTGATGCCATGAAAGCTTACGGTAGACTCTGTTGACAGCCGCCCGTGCCGGGCAGGTTGTGCTGTCCGTCTGTGTGCCGTGCTGGTGTTTCCAGAAATGTCCGGTCCAACCGCTAAGTGGAATTCTTCATCTCCTTCCTCAGTCGGTACCAGGCTGAATCAGAATCCTCAGTCTTGGGGGTTCTGGTTACCGAAGGAAAATGCATCAAAGAGGTAAAGAATATGAGTGGATGGAGTGCAGAGAAGGCCCCCACCCGCCCCTGCTTAGCGCATCAGACCTTGCTCCCAAGCCAGGAAACGGCTTTGAGTCAAAAAGAGCCACTGAGCAGGTGTCCGCATCTGCAGCGGGGCCTTGCAGTGTGGCGTGCTGACCGCGCTGGGGGGGTGGGGGCAGGGCTGGGGGGCAGGAAGAGGAAGAGAGGAGAGCTCTGAGCTGCAGACACTCAGTACCCAGGTCCTGGTGTAGGGAGAGACGCACTAAGAAGGCTGGCATTGCATAGAGCCTGTGCTGGTGGAAGTTTTTGAGAGCGGTTTCTTCTAGGCGTATGCAGCATGCCCGCCGAGGCCACCGGGCTAGTGGTGGGAGGCGGCGGCAGGGAGAAAGTTGACACGTGGTCCTTCTGCAGGGACAGGGGAGAACCTCACCCCAGGCCTTGGGCTGCGCTGAAATCACAGTTGAGCCTGCAGCTTGAGAGACGGGCCGTCCCAGCTGCAAAGCAGAACCAGCCCCGGATGGCGGGTTGATCTGACTCCCTGACGTCAAAACCACAGGCTTTTTCTTACCATCTGAGAGATGGCAGTTACCCTGAGATAGGACTAAGGGGAGAAATGGGATGTACAGTAGCAAATACCGTGAACCTCATGGTTTTGTTGGCCAAAGAAGAGGGAACCCCTCGCCCCTTCCCACCGGGGCAGAAGTTGGTGCAATATGTTTAAGCTGGCCGCCAGGTCCCGGGGGGTATTTGCCCACAGAGGTGGGCTCCAGGGCTGTGCGCTGAGTCCGGAGGTACAGGGTAAATGGAGGGAGAGCTCAGGGGCTGGGAAACCTACAGAAATGCCCTTGGCTGGGTGCGGGGAGGACCCCCGGGAGCCGGCCGCAGGATGTCAGGAAGTAGACAGAGGCTGCCTTCGCACTGAACCAATAAAAGCACTTGGAGAAAACCACAACACTTCAGCCTGGCTCCATGTTTCTACACTGGCAAATGTGGGTCTCCGGCTGTGTGAGGGACTCTCCTAGGGATTGGGCTGGGGTCGGGAGGGGGGGCCGGTCAGAGGGGGGGATCGAGCTTCCCTTCCTAAATAGTGGCAGAGCCGATCCTATGGTCCTTTGCTGGCCCTTTTGTTCGAGGCCCTAGAGAAAGGGAACAGTGAGTTTTGATCTTAGTACCTCTTTTTACGTATGTATGAAAAGCTAAAACAGCCCAGCTGTCAGAAATGGGTTTACAGAGAAAGTCACCCAACTATAAGCCATCTCAGTGAGAAGCCTGATGTTTCTTCTCACTTGCTGTGTGAGCTGGGGCCTCTGTTCCCTCAACTAACAAAGGAGAGCATTGGACAGAATGAGCACCAAGGTCCCTTTGGACCCTGATAGGCTCAGGTTCCCACCCGGGAGCCTCGGAAATCTTGTCACTCACCTGTGAAACCAATCTCATCCTCTGGCTGCGCCCAGCTCGAGTCCCGGATGAGAGATGTCTGCAAGGCCCCCAACCAGCAGTGGATTCAAACCCACCTGGTCCTGGCCCAGTTCCCTTGTATGAGGCCAGCTCCCCAGGACAGATCTAAGCCATAGTTTCTTACGGGGATGGTGAGAAGTTCGACCCCAGCTTGGCTAGGTGGCGGTCTCGAATCTCACATTAGCCTTGTCATCGTCCCCACCGAGCAGCTTTAATCCGAATGTTGTGACCGCTTGGCTGTTTCTCTCTTGCTCTCAGATGATACTAGCAATACAGTTGTTTTTTTTTGTTTTTTGGGTTTTTTTTTCCAAAACAGCTTAACTTAGGCACTTTTCACACATTTCCTTCAAGTGATTGTAAAACCTCTGGGGCAACAGGAGGCATTGATCACACTGCATGTGTTTAGGGCAGCTTTTGCTTTTGTTTCTTTAATAACCCAGCAGTGGTGGCTGAGGCTTTGAGGTCTTGGGGGACAGATTTTCAGATATTCCGGTTCTTCAGGATGCCTTGCAGATCCGGAAGCAGCATAGAAATCCAACTCCCCGAACCGGAGGCTTGGAGAATATGGTTTTGTACGTGGTCCGTCCCTGGGCAGAGCAACACCTCAAAGACGTGTTTCTATGGTTAAACCCCCTCTGTGCTGTATGTTTTGTCAAAGGATCCTGCAAGGAAGCCTAACAGAGCCTCCTTTCCCACCTGGCCAGCCTTGCTCTTGGGTGACTTGTGAAGGGATTGGTCAGCTTCCACCTCAGCACTTTGCCTTATCAACGTCTGGTCGCCCTCTAGTGGCCAAAGACTGTATCCACCAGCTATCCAGATGGAAGGCAAATAAATCCTTTCGGCCACCTTGCTGTCCAACACCAATTTGGGGAATTAAATGTAATGGCCTGAGTGAACTGTTTATGTGTTTAGAACCCAGTGTAACACCAGTCAGAAGACTCCAGAAGCAACCACGTAGTAGACTGAGAAGCACACTATAGTTATCCTGTGGGCAGAGGAGACAGGAGTGGACCCTGTGTCCAGGTGCCTGGGAGGGGTTTACTCTTAACTGCAATACTAGCAGCCCAGCTGCTGACCTTGTTAAGTGAACCTCTGCTAGGTGGCCCACACTGTACCTTCGGGGCGAGCAAAGAGGTTGGGTGTGAGGATTCTGGGGGTGGGGGGAGGGCTGGGGGGCCTGGCCATGGCCTTTGGTATGGTCCACTGAATAGCCAAACAGGTCTTTTGGTTTGTTTTTGTATTTTGTATTTAAAAATTCTTGTCAAGTGTTTTTGTGTTAGGAATAAAAAGTCATAAACAATTCCCAACTTTGTTTCTTGAGGGGTGTTCTGATTCCGAAGGAAACAGGTTGGAGATCTCAAGGGGTGTGTGGTCAGGGCGGTCAGTGGGACAGGGAGGTGGACCACCCGAATTTCCAGATGGTCTCTGGGGAAGATAACCATCCAGAAGTCCGGGTCAGTGTAGTCCGCTCTGGAAATTCACCCCCACCTCCTTGTGCCACGGTATTCGTATTGGCTTTGAGCATCTGCTTCCTCCAGAGGCGGCTGCAAAGGTTGAAACCAACACCAGGTCCCTCTCCCCAACCCCAGGTTTCTAAAGAGACGGTGTCTGTAGCTAGCCTTAATCGACTAGGCGAGGTGGTCCCTATGGTCCCTTCCAGCATTTCCAAATCCTGGACTCAAATCCTTTTCTCTTGGTGTGATCATGCAGCCTAGAGAATTCTGAGCAATAGGGAGCCGGGGCTTTCCCCGGCTCTGTGACAGGGTCAAACCAGGGAGTGGCTGAACTTGTCAGGTTTGGGCATCCCCAGGGGTACTACTGTAGGGGGCATTATCTATCAGGAAGCTCAACAAGGTAACTACAGCCTGGGGTGCGTGAGCGCAGGCTGTGTGTGCGTGCGTGTGTGTCTGCTTGTGTGCATGCCTGTGTTTGTGTGTATGTATGGAATTACATTGATGCATTTCTTGAGAAAGGTGCAAGAATTTCACCTACACAGAGGGACACATCTGCTTTGTTATTTATAATAGAAAGCTAAATTTTAATTTTTTAAAGGACACTGCTAATGACTGAGAATCGAGTTTTTAGTTTTGCTATTTTTTTTAATTGGTAGAGGATTTTTATATATTTTTTCCATTTTGTTGGGTTGTGTCCTTATTTATATAAATACTTTATCTGTAAGAGGCAAGGAAGACACCTTCTTTGCTTTTAATTATTGTGGTTGTCATCGTCCCTATTTTATTTCTGGTGTGATTTATCTGTGTTACCTTCTAAATGAGAAACCGTTTTCCTGTATTTGTACATTGTCAGATTCTATAGTTTCATAGATAATTTAACCAAATTGCTCTATGTATTATTATTCTGTGAGTATAAAGTTCTATTTTAACGTCTGTAAATACTTCAGAACTGGCTTCTTTCCTCAGACTCCCAGTGTGGGGTTATTGTTTACATCACAAAAACTGTAGAATCTCTATGCTCATGTACTGTAAATAGTGAAGTGATCTGCTTATACATAAACTTAACAAATACACTATGGAGATTAAAAAAGAAAATACCACCCACAGCCCCATCTAGGTGTGACTTTATTTGTCGGCGTGCTTGCTGAGGGACACCCTGCCCGCTAAGTGGGAAAAGGATTCTGGTTTCAGGGTCACTTTCCCCGAGAAGAGCCTGGTCAAGGTGGGCCCCGCAGCACCCCCCTGCCCCCCCAGCCCTCTAAGCTCCGTTTTCCTCCTGTCACATCGCATGGCGATCGTGAACCAGTCGCACTCAGCCTCCCCCAGCAGCCATTCCGTGACCAGCTTTTCGCCATGACTTTTTGAAAGTTTTCCCGCTTTCTGCACAAGGACTTCCTTGTCTGGCTACAGTTCCTTTTTCACACGAGCACACTAAATAAACATGCGGAAAGCGATATTTTGACATGTCTTTAAGCAAAAACACCAACTGACAACTGCAAAAGTTTCTGGTCAAAAAAAAACAAAACAAAAAACCACAGACACGCAGAAAAAACCGTTTCTGGCCAGAGGATCCGAAGAACAGACTTGCGCTGTGTGCTGCATGTGGGTGACTTGGAACTATTTTCCTTTGCTCACTCAGCCCCAGCAGGAGCAGTGAAGATGTGATTCTCTGTCTTGGACGTGTGTGTCATTTCCTTGGTTTCAGGCTCTCGCGGATTTAGCCGTATTTTGCCGTAAAACTGCTTTAGCTTTATTTTCTAGGTGCAGTTGGAGTGCAAGAGCCCCATGGATTCCCCCATGTGCCCCCAGAGGGTGGAAACATTGGTGAAGAAAATCATAGATCCACGAGAACAAGTACAATAAGCCGTTCCATTTTATGTTCTGTGCAAGCTATTTCCAAGTTGTTGATTTCCTATGTAAACTAGCTCTCGTTTTCAGGTGATTTATTTTTGCAGTCTGGAAATGGTTTGGATTTCTGCAGTTGGAGAGAAGCCCATCATGATACTTCCCGTGCAGATGAATGGGGATGTTTCCGCTGGGCAGCGGGGTACCGCGACTTGAGTTGGTCTTTAGCAAGGTTATCCATGGGACTGATCACTCAGTATCTGTTGCCTCCTTGCTTGATGGTAAAGTCCAGGAAAGCAGGGCTGCTTTTCTATTCATAGCAGGGTGCCCAACCCTATTGCTCAGGAATTCCTGAATGGACGAGTGAATGGATCCTATCCGTGGCCTGATGACTGGACACAGGTAGGGAGGCAGCCAAGCCACGGAGTCACAGAAATAATCCCTTCAAAGATGCACTCAATGGTGTGGGAGATGTAGAGGCTCAAGACCTGTGTTTGAGACCCAACTCTGCCACTTCTGTATTGTGCGAACTTGCACAAGCCACCCCTTTGGCCCCTGGTTTCCCCGAGTATGAAACAAAATGATCTGCTCAGATGAACTCAGAGGTCCCTTATGTTCTAAAAAGGCTGGTTCTCAGAAGCAGTATGGTGCAGAGAAAATGGTTACAAGCCAGGAGTCTGATGCCAGGCTGTTTGGCTTTGAGTCCTGACTCCACCACTTACCAGCTGGGTGTCCTTGGGCAGGTTTCTTAACCTCTCTGAGTCTCGTCCTCATGTGATAAATGAGGCTAGTGATAGTTTCCAATCCTTAGGGTTGTGAGGGTGAAATTAGGTCGTGAACAGTACCTAGGACATCATAGGAGGTACTTAATCAACAGAAGCTGCTATCCTCATGCATGGTCTTATTGGTGCTAACCATAGCCCTGTGAGGGGCATGGCGGGGACTGGGACTCTCATGTGACAGTTGGGGAAGGCTGAGGACTGGGGAGAGCAGAGGGAACCTGCCCAAGGAATGGAGCCAGGACCAGGATCTGTATGTTCCTGAGTGACACTTACCTCTCCTCTTTACCCTGCCACTTAACCACTAAATGTGGCGTGCTTGGGGACATGTTGCTGTTGAAATGCTCTGAGAGTGTCAATTTCGGGAGAGTTAAAAGATGAGCGTTCCAGACCCAGCTCCCTAGTGACATCCTGACCTGCAAACATGGTCAGGGCTCCTGTGCCAGGAGCCGGGAGTGATCGCTGTGGCAGTCACAGGGCCATGTGCTCTGTACGCTTTGTTCTCTGTGACTCGGGGCATCTGGAGGGAAGCGAGGGAACGGTGCCACGAACTTGGCCCAGCTTATGCCTTCACTAGCCTTCATTCCTCATTTACATAAAAAGGGAGGTTGGAGGAGATCCCTGGTTTACACAGAGTTTGGAGACACCCTCTGGTCCCCTCCTCCAAGCAAATGCTTTAATACGTTAGCCTCTGCTTTAATACATTCTCTCTGGGAGGAAGAGAAGTTCTAGAGCTATCGTCCACCTTGAGAACCAGGGACAGCGGAGCATGAGGCGAACAGGTAAATCCAGAATATGGGACAACTGACACTGTTTCTGCACCGTCATTGGCAAAGGAAAAAGAGGAAGGAGTGCTTTTGTAGATTAAAAGAGGCTTAAGAGACATAACAGTTAAAGTGTGAAACTCGTTTGGATCAGATTCAAGCAAACCAACTAATTAGGACACTTTTGCAACATTGGGGGCGAGGCAACGGACAGGCATCCCCAGCTGGGCTCCCCAGAAGGCAGCCTCTGCAGTGGTCTTGGTCTGCAAGGTGCATATTAAGGAATGCCCATAGGACCAACACCTGCGGAAGGGGAGGGAGTAGGAATGGGCAGAGGGAGAAGCTGAGCTGTGGTGGAGCTCCGGTGGCAGCCTTGGTGATCCCAGCAGGAATCCTGGAGCTAGAAGGGCCCTCTGGAGTTGTCCCGTGAGGGGCCAAGGTGGCCGCGCCTTAACAGGCATGGGTCCATCGTTGTGTGTAGGCCATCCTGGGAAAGGGCGTGACCTTGGACAAAGTGTCTCCTTGGAGCTGAGGTCATGTTTGTGGGACAGCACTGAGAGCAGCAGGGACCGCAGGTCCTTTACTCTTCAGGAAAGTGTCTGTGCAGCTCATCATGGCCTCTACCACAACTGGATGTGAGGTGTTCATTTGCTGCACGTGATAATGATGTGGTTATATTAGAAAACACCCAGATGTTTTTGAAGACATGTAATGGAGGAGTGAAATGGTATGTCTGAAACGTGCTTGTAAATACTTCAGCTAAAGAGAGCCTGGGTGGTTCCTTTGGGGAAGAGCATGCAACTCTTGATCTCGGGGTTGTGAGTTCGAGCCCCGTGTTGGGTGTAGAGATTACTTCAATCAATAAATACACTTAAAAAAAAAAAGAAGAAGACAGACCATCAATTTAATAAAGAAAAAACTTCAGCTAAGAGAAAAAAATGCAAAAGAAATGTAAAAGGATGGATGAGCAAATGTGGCAAAATCTTGATATTGGAATCTGGGTGATGAGGAAGGTGGGAGGGATTTGTTATACAGTTCTCTACTTTTGAGGATGCTTGACAATTGTTACAAGAAAACAAACAAAGTATAAGGACAAAAATGATTCTAAGCAAGCAGGTGAAGCTGGCCTTAATGAAATGTTTAATTGATATCTATGAAAGCTAGAATGTTGGTTTTAGCTCAGTAAAATACTCAAAACAAAAAATGTTTGAACACCACTAGATAGGATGTAAGCTAAATTCTCTTTCAGCTTTCAAATCCTATTACTCTTTTGCTTCGCAAGCAGGCTTTTGGTTTTCTGCTGGCTTGGGTAGTGTCTTTCCGCAAAGGGTGGTGCCATTCCGTTCAGCCGATGCTGGTCAGCATTACTGGATACAGCAGGACTTGGATGCAGGTGTGCCCCCTGCTTGGCTGGGGCTGCCCCCTGGCTGATTTCCTGCCGCTGCTGCAATCAGACAGAAAGAGGACCCCCTAGGTGAGAGGAGGCTACCGTGCGCTTCCCCTTTGCCCTGGTTTAGACCAAGAGTTGCAAATTCAGGGGCTTTCCGCGGCTGACAGATAATCACACGTAGAAGGCAAGCCAAGAGAAACCAAGAATGGCAAATAAGAATAAGGAAAAGAGCGGCACAATCGTGATGATAAACGGCAACCAGCACTTGTCACCACTGTCTGAGAGACAACAGGGAGTGGTGGAGACTGAGGCAAACTGGAGAGATCCCCGGTCCTGTCTAAAGGGGGCAGTTAAAAGGCAAAAGCCACTCAGCTCCAGCTCATTGTTGTCCTATAGAAATGCAGACTGATGTGGCTGAATACTGATCTTTTATTTTATTTATTTATTTAAATTTTATTTTTTGTTTGTCAGAGAGAGAGAGAGAGCACAAGCAAGGGAAGCAGCAGGCAGAGGGAGAAGCAGACTCCCTGCTAAGTGGGGAGCCCGATGTGGGGCTCAATCCCAGGACTCTGGGACCATGATCTGAGCTAAAAGCAGACGCTTAACTGAATGAGCCACCCAGGCATCCCGAATACTGACCTTTTAAAAAAGAAATGCTGGAAATCTGGATTTTTTAAAATCTGAAATATCCCAATTTTAAAACATATCTGCAGGCTACACGTTTGCACAGACCTGCCACTAGCCCCAAAGATAATTTGCAAATTAGAAAAAGATTCATCTTCCTCAGGACACTTTACTGCCATTTCTGGAAAATTGTAATAACCATACAAACCTATGATGACTAGGGCGCCTGGGTGGCGCAGTCGGTTAAGCCTCCGACTCTTGGTATCGGCTCAGGTCGTGATCTCAGGATCATGAGATCGAGCCCCGCGTTGGGCTCCATGCTCAGCGAGGAGTCTGCTTGGGATTCTCCCACCCCATTTCCCTCTGCCCCTCCCCCTGCTTGCATGCTCTCTCTCTCTCTTTAAAATAAAATAAATAAATCTTAAAAAAAAAACCCAAATCTATGGTGAGTGTCATGTACGGGACACCTCCTGGAGCTTTGCAAAAAGCAGCCCTTGCAAAATACAAACAGTACCTCCACGTTTGCAGCCACCAGTTTAGAATCTCCCCGTGATGCCAGAGCAGAGCTGGAGCCATGACAGGGTCCATGAATAAGAACACGGGTAGAGGGGCAGGTGTGCAGAGGCGGGCAGTCCGAGTGGGGCCTGGACTACAAGTCAGGTCCTGTGAGGGAACTGGGCTCACACAACCCACAAAAGAAATGACCCAAGGGAGGGAGAGTGTGCTGTCAATCGGGAAGAGCTGGAGCAAACAAATCCCATCTGATTCCTGAAGGCGGGACTATGGCCGCTAGGTGGAGGTTTCAACAAGGAGAAGAACTGCAGCTCAGGGAAGAGCCTTCTAATAGTGGTACTGAAAGAGGATGTCATGTACGGTAGTGAGCCCCCCATCACTGGTAGTGTGTAAGCAAAGGCTCACAATGGTATAGCGAGCATTCAAACACCAGACAGAAAGCCAGAAACACGGCCCCTCAAATTCCTTCAACCTGTAATTCTAGGTTTTCTCCTTGGCCCCTGGGTAGGGCCCTATGTGCACAGCCTTGGAATTGGAATCTGTCCTGCATTGGCTGGGGGACAGTTGGGAATCCTAACTGGGAGGCTCAGTCTTGGGAATGAGACTCTTCCCCTGACTGTGCCTTGGCCACGGTACTTCATCCCAGCGAGCCTCAGCACGCCGTTGTGTGCAGAGTGAGGGCACTAACAGGAGCTGGGGAGGCCTGCACGGGACCACACGGCTGGGGCTCTGAGACCAGGCCAGGCACGCTGTGAGTGCTCCGTGTGTCCACACACCTTGCTTGGCTGCCTCTCGCTTTTGCTTCTCCTCCTCCAGGGTCTTCATCTTGGCATCGTATTCGTCGGCGAGCGTCTTCCACTCCTTGCGGTTGTTGGTGATCCCATCCAGCATGGGAGTGATCTCCTCGTGGAAGCGGGAGAATTCCTGGAAGAGAGAGAGCCTCTGGCGCAGGGGCCACGCCCCAGGGTCCAGTGCAGGGGAGAGGCTGGGCTGAGCACGCCCACCACAGGAACGAGCTGCCTGGGGCGGCGGGCTTCCCGTCACCCAGTGGTCTGCGTGCTGACGCTGTGGGGCCTGCAGTCAGCAAGAGCCCATCCATCCCTCTCCTGCTTAAAACCCTCCTGTGGCAGCCCCTGTCCTTCAGGACGAAGTGCAGACTTCTTCACACGGCTTCCGAACCCCTCCAGGGCCACTGCCCTCGCCCCTTGACCATTTTGAACCCTCTGGGTGAGCAGAGTCCTCTAGTAGAAGCTCACAAAGCCTCTCTTCCACCTCTCACTTCGTCGTAATGACTCCCTTTGCCTGTGTCCCCCAGGGGCTGTGGCCTTGGAGAGGGCAGGGACAGTGGTGCCTTGTTCACGGAGGTGGCTTTGGCCCAGCACAGGGTCTGGGGCATAAAGACACCAGGAAACACTTGCTGAGAGAAACTGGGATTTGTGAAGGGGATTCTTACGGCCCCTTAACTCCAAGAATGAAAATAATGCCTTTGAGCATAGCACGTTATAGTTTATGCAGCGTTCTCTCCTTTGATCCCCAGAAACTCCTGGGAGGTGGGAAAACAGGATGCCTCCCTCCTAGATTTTCAGGGGAGGAAATCAAGATGCAGGTTGATGGAGTCGATTGGCTCAACGTGAGAACGGCAAATCCAGGGCCCACTGCGGAGTTCCAGCCAGAGCCGGCTGTGCTCAGAGCTCCTGGGTTTGGATCCAGCTCTGCTGCAAGCTGTGTGACCATGGGGAGGTGACCTACAGAGCTCAGCGTCAGCCATAAAGTCAGGACGGTACAGTACCTACCTCACAGGGCTGTGATAGTGCGTGCAGGGCATTCAGCCTCGCCTACCTGGTTTAGTAATCTTGCTGATGATAGTGGGGAGCACGGTTACACTGCCCTGTTGCTCTGAGGACCCCAGTTAGACAAGGTATAACAGAGAAGCACTGTCCTCCCCAGCACAGCAGAAATAGCCCGGGACTAGGGATCAGGTACCCTGGCTCTAGTCCTGGCTCAGGGCTGACTCCAGCAATGCTGGCCGGGTCATTTCTTATGTCTGGCCTCTGCCTCCTCAGGTTACACAGGACCAAAATAAAAATGACAAACGGGAGGCAGATGGTAGCACAAATCACACGGAGTTGGGAGCAGTGGGTTTTCAGTGGGTTTTCTCTGAGCAAGAGCTCAAAGAAATTCCAGACGATCTTTTGACAACTGGTTTACCTTGACCTATCACATTTCCACCAGCAAGGGAAGTTAGGAGGGTGTGTGTTTGATATGCCTCCCCTTTTCCTGTCTGAAACCACATTTAGTCATCTGTCCCTATGGTGTTGAGCAACTAGAGTGGGTGAAGCTCCAGGCTGTGGCCTGAGTAGACAGTCACTCAGGACCCCATCGGGCTGGACTGAGGACCAAATGCCAATGCAGATGAGAAGCTCTTTGTAAACACCCACCGGTCACTTGCCAGGGTTTATGATTCCTGATGGTGTTTGGGAATTCCTGGGTTTATCAGAGACACCTCTCTGGGCCTGAGAAAGCCAAGGACCTACCTTGTAGACAAAGGTGCAAACAAAGTCAATGAAGCCGACCTGAAGCTTGGGGAGTTCATCCGCCTTGTTTCTGTCCATCATGGGCTGTCGTGGAGGAGAAAAAGTTAACTGTACCGGGCTCCTCTTGGCATGATGCATTAAAAGGGACCCCCCCCCCCACCTAGGAAGCTTTCTTGTTCAAAACAAAACAAAACAAAAACCTAACTAAACCTGAACTCATCAAGTTTCCAGATCTGACTAGCGGTTTGCAGGAAATATGGGGATAAAGGAACATATTAAATAACACCATGAGAGTGCAATCAACCGAGTCCAGACTGTGGGAAACTACACAACAGAAGACCGACGGTCTTCAACAAGCAAGTACACGGCAGACAAAAACAAAAAAACAAAAACCAGGAGAAAATCTGCTATGTATTGAAAGAGACTCAAGAGACAGGACAACCAGAGGGAGTGTGGTCTGTGACTGGATCCTGATTCGAAAAAATCAAACCTAACTATTTTTCTCACTCGATCAGGGAAAATGAACAGAGATTAGATGATAATAAAGCATTATTTCTAATTTTGTGAGCGTCACAATGGTATTGGGGTGTGTGCGTGCCTGCATGCCCCACGTGTTTTTCTTATCTCTTAGAGACCCACACTAAAGTCTGTATGGAAAAAATGATAACATCTGGAATTTACTTTAAAATACTTCAACCAAAAGATAAGAAAATGCCTGAGGGTGGAGGGATAGATAAAACCAGAATGACTGTCACTAGTGGTGGTGGTTGAACCTGGCTGCTGGGTCTCTGGAGTTCGTTCACTAGACCCTCTACATGTTAAAGTGCGGAAAAGAAAGAAGAGAGATCCAAATCCGTGGCCCTGTGCTACTCAGGTTGGGACGCTCCCTGCTCAGTTGCACTCGGGCTCGCACAACCCTCACTGCCTGTGCCCTCCCTCCGGCCCTGCCCAAGCCTCACGTGGGTGCCCCCCCCCCCATCCTCAGCACTGCCCCAGGCTTCACCCATCCCCATCTCCATCAATGGCTCTGTCCTCAGAATGTCGCTCCCTCCTACCCCACCTCTGCTTCCCAGCCCTGCCCTTGCTCAAGGCCTTAGTGAACCTCTCCCTGGGCTCCTGGGCTCGGTGACTGTCCTAGCCAAGCCTACTTTCAGTGTTGATGGGTGCTCAGCTTGCCAAGGTCTTCCCCTTGCACGCTCCGTACTGTTAACACAGGGCCTGGGGAGGTGGCCTCCTAGACTGTTGGAACCGGGAGGAAATCTGTTTTGGGGTCCCCTTGTCCACCTCTACTTAGCTGAGGGAGCCAAGGATACCTACCCAAACTTGAGGAGGGCTTATGATTTAGGACGGCACACATTTGCCCAGCCCACTTCCAGAGTTGCTGCTTAGGCGGGTCTAGGATGGGGCCTGTGAATTCTCATCTCTAATATGTTCCCAAGTAATAAGGTTGATGGTGGTATGGGGACCATACTTTGAGAACTAGTGCATTAGGAAAAGGTCATCTCTACGGTAAGATCACACATGCCTATGTCAGGGGGCACGTCTGTCTATCAGGATAAGATCATACACACTCAACATCAGGCTGACGTCCCCCCACCCCCTACTCACAATGGGGTTCTGTTGCAGCACTGTGCGCTCAAGGTCACCTTGTTCCCAGAATTCCGCGGCAACCAGCAGAGCTACCTGCAATAGGCAGACCACCCCCCCCCCACCCCCGACAAAGTCAAGCCCCAGCCCAGATCTTCCTCCCTCTGCTCCCACCTTTCCTGGGTGTCCAGCTCAGTGAAAGTTAACCCCCACCCCTGCCTCGCCACCCCCTTTGTCATCATCACTGGAGAGGCACTAAAGTGGTTTCCGTGTCTTGGCAGATGAGGCGAAAGTGGGCTGCTTCTGGAACGGGGAGTCCAAGCCACATCAGCTGCTGTCGTGATGCCGGGACTCCCCTCCTCTCAGGTCAGGAGGGGTCCATACCTTACTCTGCACCTCCCAGGGCTTGGTGATGGCCGAGAGATCACAGGCGGTCATCATCATGGCCCTGCACACAAAGACACCATCCATCAATCCAGAGCTAATTAAGGCTGCAGGTGCTGGTTAATTCTAACTATCTCTCCTTTCTCTGCACCACATTGCAAGGAGGGGGTCACTACTGCATTGCATCTGGAGGTCGGGCTTTGAAGTCAGACAGAGATTAAAATCCTGCCTCTGTCAATTACCAGCAGTTTGGCATGGGGCAATTAAACCAACCTCTGTAAGCCTCGGTTTCCTTATCTGTAATAATAACGGTACTTTCCTCATGAAATGGGTGCAAGATTAAATGAGATAAGATGTGTACAAAAATCTTAGCAGAGGGCCTGGACATAGTATGTGCACAATAAATAGTGGCGATAATCATGAACATCTACTGGGTTTTTCTTATGTGACACGCACTGTTCTAGGTACTTTGGAAACATCGATTTCATTTCAATCTCAGCACCTCTTCAGAGTTCTTTCCGTCCTGTCTAGTGGAGACCAGTGTTTCTCAAGCTTTATCTCATCATCCTCCACCTTCCACATCAGCCTCTATACACATTTTTTCTGTAATCACTCCACCATGAAATCTTAATACCATAGACACGCTGTGTATCTGTTTGGAGGGCCACAGGTCACCTTAATACTTAAGGCTTTTTTTTTTTTTAAGATTTTTATTTATTTGACAGAGACACAGCGAGAGAGGGAACACAAGCAGGGGGAGTGGGAGAGGGAGAAGAAGGCCTCCCGCTGAGCAGGGAGCCCGATGCGGGGCTCGATCCCAGGACCCTGGGATCATGACCTGAGCTGAAGGCAGACGCTTAACGACTGAGCCACCCAGGCGCCCCTACCTAAGGCTTTTTGCTCCACCTCCAGGAACTGCTTTTTGCCTGGGCTGGGGAGTGATAGCACCCCCATTAAAAATGCATGGTATAAGAAGTACCACGTGAGTCATTTCAGGAAGCCTCACATGAAGTAGTAGAGAGAGGGATTGGGGACAGAAAGAATGGAAAGATAAACTCTTAAAGCAGTTTCACAATAACAGGAGGAAGGTAAGACAGGTATTATTACCTAGGTAGGTAGAGTAGAAGGCAGAGAAGGAGGGGACAGAGACAAAGAACTGGAGGAAGGGGGGAGTTGGGGAGGGTGTTTCAGAGCTGGGGGACAGCAGCATGCACGTCCGGGCTAGGAATCCAGGCTCGTGTGGTGTGGACATTGCTGGAAATGGAAACTGCATCCGAGAAGAAGTGGAGAGCTATTGAAGGTTGAGGACCCGGTCATGACCTCTTTCGAGCTGTGCGGCAGGAAAGCAGGCTGGCAGCACCCGGAGGGTGGCGCAGAATGGAGCGCGTGGGGAGGAAGGAGAGGATTTGCTGCGTTGATTCCGGGGAGGGCAGCAGGGCCTGACCTGCCGCTGTGTCTGCTGGTCAAGCTGCCTTGGTGGGCTCCACCTGATCTGGTGAGGCTTGGTGAGGCAGGTGGCCAGGGGCCGGGGAGAGGAGATAGTTGGAGAAGGCTGGGGGTCTTGCTGTTTGGATGATTTTACAGTTAACCAGCTGCATCTGGCATAATTTATATAAGCTGGTCTGGGAAGCCTTCAGAATTACTCATGGAACAAACTGGTGGTCACCAGAGGAAAGGGGGCTGGGGGAATGCGCAAAAGGGGGGAAGGAGGATGCGGAGACAAGCTTCTAGTGAGGGATGAATACACAGCATAGGGAAGACCGTCGGTGGTATTGTCACGGTGTCGGATGGTGACAGACGGGAGCTACACTTCTGGGGAGCACAGCATAACCTACAGGATGGTCCGATCACTATGCTGGACACCGGAAACCAGTGTAACATTGTGTGTCAATTATACTTCAGTAAAGAGTTATTCATGAAATACTATCAGGTTTAGTTATCTCTCATTAAGTAAACCCTCCAAAATTTGTAGGATTCTTTAAGTATATAAGCTTTCAGAACTGCATACATTTCTTTTGAAACACCTTCATGCTTTGTAATAGCTTCAAAATATATGCCTCTGCTTCCTATCAAGTGTCAGAGACCTGTTACCCTCAAATAAACTAAGCAAATGAATGTCTGGCCGTGCACACCAGAGTCCCCGGCTCCCTGTTACCCATCAGTAGCCACACTTTCAGTCCATGGGTAGGTGTGGCTTCAGGAGAACACTGGATGTTTACTTTCCTTGGCAGGAGAGTTGGTGTGAAAATCACTCCCACAGCTGGGGAAACACACCCGGTGTTTTACAGACAGAGTCTGTGGGCCTGGGAATGGGGGAGCAGGGGAGTGAGGACTTCTGGGCACCAGAAAGGCAAATCCAAAGCCTCGTGCCCTAAAGACAAGGCCTTGCATTCACTTCAGCACCATCTCCTTAGGTGCCGTGGGGCCAAGGCGCTACGCTAGGTCTTGGGCATCCAGAGAGTCTGGCAGAGAGCTCACAGGCACTCAGAGAACCGACAGCAAAAAGCTGTCATCACAATATGCTAAGGGAGATGGCAGAAAGAAGTACAAGTTTTAAGAGGGGAAAAAAAAAATCTGAAGGTGAGAGCAACTAGCTCAGGTCAGGGGGCATGCAAGAGATGACAGTGGAGGAGGGTCCTGAGGGGTGCATAGGAGTTCTCCAAGAAAGGGTACAGTCAGGAGAGATGCAGTGGAGAGTACGCAGGATTGCCCAGGGCAGAGGGTTATCCAGGAGGGGGCTGGTTCACAGGCTCCCTGCTCTCTGAAAGCTTACCCACGCATTGGGGAGTCACGCATTTACCACACTAATGGATGTGAATGTGTAAACATTCTCTGGGGGAAAGGAATTCGATTCTTGAAGAACAGGTCTGAACCATCAGGGAGGGCTCCCTCACCGAAGTGACCAGGACCTGAGGTCTGGAGACAGTGTAGCTGTCCATTTGGTAAAGGACTAGGTGGGCGAACACATTCCCAGCAGAGAGAACATCCAGTGCAAAGGCCCTGGTGGAAGGAAGCCTGGCACATTCAAAGAGCTAGAAGGTGGGAGGAGCTCAGGAAGCAGCAGGAAATGGGGGGGGAGACGAGGCCCAGGGTATAGCCAGGGCAGGCCCGCAGAGCCTGGGCCGTGCCAGGGGACCGTCTTCATGCCAAGAACAACAGGAAAAGCTTCCAAAGGAGAGTTTGAACAGAAGCCTGAAGCAACCAGATTTGCATTTTACGGGGTCACCGTGGCTTTAGTGTGGAGGGGACAGGAACACCAGCAGGGAGGTCCAGCCAGGAAGCCATTGCAGGACCCGGACAAGTGTCCGGATAAGCAAGGCTTTTAAGAAATAGACTCAACAAGGCGTGGGGCTAGATGAGACGTGCCTAGTCAGGACGAGGGAGGTGGCAGCATGGGGGAGGGCAAAAGACAACGGGCTTCCCAGGCAGAAAAAAGCAAAAGTCACAAAGACTTTGTATGTGGAGACATGTGAACCTTAGCCTCTGGGTAAGCAAGAGGCATCAAGAGGAGGAGGGCATGGAATGAATGGAGAACCGTCTATAAAATGCCATGCAGGGGGGCGCCTGGGTGGCTCAATGGGTTAAGCATCTGCCTTCGGCTCAGGTCACGATCCCAAGGCTCTGCACTCAGCGGGGAGCCTGCTTCTCCCTCTCCTTCCTGCTTCTGCTCTCTCGCTATCTCTGTCTCTCTGTCTCTCCAATAAATAAATAAAATCTTAAAAAAAAAAAGTGCCAGGCAGGGCTTTGGAATCAGAGCAACTAGATCTCTGCTCTTCTCCTTACGTGCTGTGTCAGGGCAAGTGACTTCATGTCTTTGAGTCTCTGTCTGTTTTGTAAAAGGAGATAATCATATTAGATTGCATCGTGAAATTCTGACTTTGTGGGTCAAAAACAATCAAAAGTCAACAATTTCATACGGTTTGATGTAATACATGCGTCCTACGGGCTACTGTGACCATCTCATAAGATGATCCTGTGAGTGCGCACATTGTCCACATTTTCTTTATCATCGCCTTCATCACGTTAACCACGGTCACCCAGGTGCGCAGGGCTTGCTGATGGAAGCAAGCTGAGCTCCTGCTCACCTGGCCCGTCGTCAAGGCAGATCTCTCTTCCGCAAGGCTTTGCGGCTCAGTGGCGCTTCTTCCCGACCCCTGGCTGACCTCTGAAAGCACCCCAGCCAACCCGGCAGGGCATTTAGACACTCCTGGAAATGCACCGGGCCTGGAGGGTGTGGCCTGCCAGGGAGGGCCTAGGAAGCCTGAGAAAGCTGTGGGTGTGCAAGAGAGGGAGAGGGTGAAGGTTTCCGGTCCCCGATGCTCCAGTAATGTGCATGTGACACTGCGTAAGTCCTCACTCTCTCATTTGCAAAACACTAGACCAGGGACTGGCAAACTTTCTCTGTAAAGCGACAGACAGTAAATAATTTTTGCAGACCATGTGGGTTCTGTTTCAGCTACTCAACTCTGGCATCGTGACGTGAAAGCGGCTGGAGGTAAGTAAAGGCAGAGGGCCCAGGGCGCAGGATACTTTTAGAGGCCTGTGAAAATGTTTGAATTTTATTTTCAAGTCAGAAGAAAAAAATAATATAATAATGATGGAGATGTAAGAGTGAATTCAGCCTGCATTATATTGGTCTTTATACCAGCACAGTCATAAAATACCATTTTTTAAAAAATTTATTTTAATGGAGGAAGAAGCCACGGAGGCAAAAGTGCCTAGGACCCACCAAAGTCATAATGTGGCCATCTGCAGAAAAATAAAATGTTATTTATGGGTATTGAAATGTGAACTTCTTATACCTTTTGTCAGGAAAGCTTTTTTTTTTTTTTTAAGAGTTTATTTATTTATGTCACAGAAAGAGACACAGCGAGAGAGGGAACACAAGCAGGGGGAGTGGGAGAGGGGGAAGCAGGCTTCCCACCGAGCAGGGAGCCCGATGCGGGGCTCGATCCCGGGACCTGGGACCATGACCTGAGCCGAAGGCAGACGCCTAACGACTGAGCCACCCAGGCGCCCCAGGAAATCCTTTTTTGATTATTTCCCACCCAATCATTTAAAAAT